CTTCATATGGACTTAGACATTATTCACGTGTGATAAGAAGAAAATTGTACAGTTCTATAAAATAAAAATAAGAAATAGTTTTCGACTTGCATAAAATGTTGTAAAGTATAAAGAGTATATGAGTACGCTGGCGAAAGTGAATTGGAATTCATTAGAGTTCCTGGCAAAGTTTCGAAAGCTGTCATATTTTCGACGTCATAAGATTATGCAAAGATGTTACCATAAAATTAGAACTTGCAACATATATCTCAGCCTTTTGTTTTTTTTTGTCTTCTGCGGAAATCCCCTCGGATACCACCCATCGGTCGGATGATTATGTCGGACTCTAACCGACCAAAAACCGAACGCCGTCTGGGGTACCAGCAGCCAGGGAACCAGGTGTACCCTAGAAAGGAAATCCCTGGTACCCCGACGTACCTCGGGCCATCCACGGCGTGTAGATGACGCCTTCCTGTGTTGGAACCCCCATGTTAAATTTGTGCTCCCAAAATGGCGCGTCTCGCCGCTACTCCGGCCTGCTTCTGCTAGGGTGACAGATGGCCTCACCTGTCACCCCCAGGCCAACATATATCTCAGCTTGCGAACGGCAGTGTAGCTGTACTACGTTACTACGCAAGCGAGCGCTCTGATATTGTTCTTGTATAAGGACAGGTCTAATACTGATGTGGCTATTTTGTGATATGCTATTTTATGAAGCTTTAACTGGCCTATTAAAATATTATCCATTACTTAGTAAGTTACTCAATAACCTATTCAGTTCTTTTGGTTCTTTTGGTTCTTTTAAAAGACAACTCCCGCACTAGGAATAAATCCTGTGTCGCGGGGACTTTACAAACATACATGAAACGGACACAAAGTACATCCAGACTCAGAACAACAATTTGTGGATCACACAAAGTGTTGTCCCATGTGGGGTTTGAACCCACAACACTCGGCGTAATAGGAAGCGGCGTGGCGACCGCTTAAACCACTACTTGGTATTTAAGATTAGCTGCTCTAGTTTTAATTTATATGTAAGTCAGTCATGTGAGCCGCAACGAATGGTCAGATGGTGGACCAAACCAAACCAAACCGGCCAAACGAAGACCCACCAAGTAACAATAAAAAAAAAACAAGCTTAAAAATAAACAACACGCTTATAAAAATCAATAAAAACAAGGGTACCTCCTACTCACTTTTAAAAAGAAAATAAATTTCCTTACCAATAGCCGGAATAGAGAATTTAGCACTATTTTTCTATTAAAAAACAGTAAAAACTTACTGATATTCTTTAAACACACTACACAACTTTTAGCCGCTCGCAAACCGGGAACTAGTTGCAGAAAAACACAGAAAACAATATTTAAATTATTCCCCCACGACACAGGGTATACGAGGGCGGGTCAATAAGTCCGTGACTTTTTGAATTTCTGACCTCTTTACTGAAAAAGCAACACTACTCCTGTCAACAGGCATCTGTCAGTTGACTCCTGTCAAAATTTGAACTTGCTGTGTCAGTTAGTTTGTGTTTGACAGCTATCTTTATCAGACTACCCAGTAATTTGAGGAAAAAATGGAGAAAAGTGAATTTCGTGTGCTTATTAAGCATTATTTTTTGCGAAAAAAAACCATTACCGAGACCACGGCTAAGCTTGATAAATACTATGGGGACTCTGCACCATCGATTTCAATGGTAAAAAAGTGGTTCACTGAATTTCGTTGTGGCCGTACAAGCACTGAAGATGCCGAACGTCCTGAACGCCCCGTTGAGGTCTCTTCACCCGAAACAATCGAAAAAATTCACGATATGATGTTGGGAAGCCGTAGGGATCTCGCATGGCTCAGTGGTTACAATTTTGATTGATCACTTGGGCATGAGAAAGCTTTCCGCAAGATGGGTGCCGCGATTGCTCACAGTCGACCACAAACGCAGTCGTGTAACAACTTCACAGGAAGGTTTGGCGTTGTTTAATCGCAATATGGAGGAGTTTTTACACCGTTTTGTAACCGTGGACGAAACATGGATCCATCACAACACACCAGAGACCAAAGAACAGTCAAAACAGTGGGTTTCTAAGGGTGAATCGGCGCCAAAGAAGGCCAAGGTGGGTTTGTCAGCCAATAAAATTATGGCGACTGTCTTTTGGGATGCACGCGGGATAATCCACATTGACTACCTTCAAAAAGAAAGAACAATCAATGGGGAATATTATGCCAACTTATTGGACCGATTCAATGACGATTTGAAAAAAAACCGACCTCATTTGGCCAAGAAAAAAGTTCTATTCCACCAAGACAATGCAAGGGTGCACACATGTGCAGTTGCCATGGCAAAAATCCATGAATTGGGCTATGAATTGCTCCCTCATCCGCCCTATTCTCCAGATTTGGCTCCGAGTGACTACTTCTTGTACCCAAACCTGAAGAAATGGCTTGGTGGAAAAAGATTTGACTCCAATGATGAAGTCATCTCGCAAACAAAGGCCTATTTTGAGGACCTCGACAAATCGTATTTTTTGGAAGGGATAAAAAAATTGGAGAAGCGTTGGACAAAGTGTATAGAGCTCAAGGGAGACTACGTTGAAAAATAAAATGATTTATAAAAATCTGTGTTTTATTCCAAAAGTCACGGACTTATTGACCCGCCCTCGTATTAACATGACACTAACGCGGGAGTTGTCTTTTTATTAAAAAAAGTCTTTATTTAAAGAATTGTTATTGAAAACTTGAAAAATTGTTTGAAAACAAAGAATCTTTGAATTTAGAATGTTACCGTTTCAGACATTAATTGATTTCTGTTGTTTTCTACAACCCTCAGCAGGGTAGTTTCTCAGTAAAACTTCATGGTCAAAAGATTGATCCTTTTTTACTAGTATATGAAGGTATTGATAATATAATTTGTATAAATATTTTACTCGATTGTTGTGTGTCGCACGTATGTGAGTTGTGTGTATGGGCACCATTGCTTATATTTTGTTACGAACGAGCCATTGTGCTCTACCATTGTTTCCCGACCGTGAGTAACTGTGCTTATAACCTACACACCATAGTGGGCTGCTAGCTGCTTTGATTTCTATACGCTGAGGTGTAAGTGAAATGTTTACACAGTAACCAAATATACATAATCTGCACACCTTATTTTAATTAATAAAAAGGATTTTCGCCTTTTTAGGGTTCCGTACCTCAAAAGGTAAAAAAGGAACCCTTATAAGATCACTTTCTTCCGTGTGTCACCACCGATTTTCTCAGGAAATATATCAATTTCAACTTGCCAGGTCTACCCGAGACCTGGCAAGTTGAAATTTATATAAAAGGTGTATAAAAATGAAGGTCTTGAGTCAACACGATAAAAAGATATGGGCAAATTATTATTATTATTATAGCAAAGGATTATTATTATTATTATAGCAAAGGATTATTATTATTATTATTCCAAAAAATAAAAAAATATGAAAATTAAGATAAATTTTGGTATTTACAAATTTTCGCGAAAATCTACGTAAAATCTGGGTAGGTACGGAACCCTCGGCGCACGAGTTCGACTCTAGTAATCAAAGTGGCACATAAAACAAACTATCTATTTTGTACGAGTAGTATTGATAATTTTGTTTTTGATTTTTCAATATGATAATTAATATAATAATCGTATCGATTTTCTTTTAAAAAACATAACAGACAGTTAGATTTCTAAATAAGTATACTACGCTATAAAATTACCTACATATGTGATATACATACACTTATGATAATTTTTATTGTTTTTTTTTGTCTATTCCAATGGGGTTCCCCAAAAATCAGAAATAATGAAAATGTGCCCATGACTATTCTTCTGTTTTTAAAAGCTGTAAACTTATCGGAATCTTAGAACACAAGTAGATGCCGTCAACATTAGCATTCTGTCTGACGTCGGAATCAAGAGTGACGCACGTCACGCAGTAACTGCAAGGCAACATGCACCCGAAACCTAATTCGTTATACTACTTACCTGCATATGTTCATAGTCTTCGTCTGACTGCGATAAACTCGCAAACATAGGATTTTTATTTCAATGTTTACGCACAATGAAGAGCGTGAACGAACCGACCTTCATAGCACATTTTTTCAATAGTTTCTAGAACCTGCAATAGTACAATTAAACTTGATATGAACGCGAGGACGACTTATGAACGAGTTTGTTAGAAACACACACAGATTTATAGGTAGTCAAGAAGGGAACTTCTTCAAGTACTAGAAAAATGTTTATTCTTTATTTTAAAATATTCTAGCACTTTGTATGTCACATGTTTCAATTAGAGTTGATTAGAAAATGTATGACTATGAAGCCAACAAATTAAAGCTTCAACATTTCTGATCAAGTTTTGCGCCAGCTGATAGTATTTAAAGCTTTTTATTGACTGTCTAGTTCTTTATGCATATGTGCTTAGGGATATTAAATAAGAACAATGCAGACTAGGTAGACAGTTTTTTTTTCGATATTAAATTATAGGCGATCGTCTTCCAAAAAACCCGATCGAAAGTGACGATAAAAACAAGGTGGCACACGCCTATCTAAGAGAAACCTACTTACTGTACACTTGAAATAATTAAATTATTTTTACCTAAGTTTATTACTGAGATTGACTTTAAATAACAAAGACTATTTAAGCACTGAATTATTTTAAAACCATTAATCCTCCATATAGAAACGAGCGGTATTGCATATAAAATATTTATTCGTGTTCTCTATTTTTCAAATATTTAAATTCTTTATGAATGGTATTTTCGTATTTAATCAACGCCATTTGATATAATACATTCAAGAAATGCGTCATAATGTTAAACATTTCTATCAAACAGCATTTATTTGTTTCAGAAACTAAAATCAATATTCATCTTCCATGCCTCAGATACATCGACAGTCAAGCATACACGAGGGTGGTTGGATGACAAAGGACTTTCCTACCTAGTGTATATTTCAACTTCCTAGATCAGACACATTGGTTTACAGTTTTATTCTAGAAGCAGTTCTAAAAGCTATCACAATGCAGTTTGTACGCTCCTTCTTCAAACGAATTACAGATGATCTCAAACAGAAGAAACTCATACCACTGAAAATTTTATTTTTTGTACATGCCTCCAGTAAGTACATTACACGTATTTGTGTAAAGAGAAAACGGTCTAGTAGACCAGGAAAAGGAGTCAACTAGATAGATGTTTAAAATAAAAGTAGTAGTTGGTATTTTTTTGCATGTTGTAAAAAAACAAAATAACCAATTGGAACGCACCAAGTCTCAATTTGTAGATGTTTTTAATATCTACAACTTTCTCGTAATACATTTCTTCGTAATGAGTCGAGGAAAATTTATAATGTCGAACTACGTTTTTGCAAATTTAACATCAAATTAATAAATAATGGCACGGTTTCACCTGTTGCATTTTAGTTATATTATCATAATGTACTGAGAGGAACCTAAATACGTTGAAATATCTCGGTTGGCATTTCTTTTGGAGAAAGCCCTCCTTTTCCTGGTGTATAGTATCTTTTCCTCTTGTTTTTATTAAAATTTCTGTTTTTCGTTTAATCAATGAAACATACAAGAAGAACTTCTCGCATATATAATTATCTATTTTAGCTCTGTTCGTGCTGTACCCATACCTGACGATTCACATGCGTGAGCTGGGCATCAACGTGGAAGAGACAGCGATCATGTCTGCTGTTACTCCGGTTGTATCAATCGTCATGCCGCCCCTCGCAGGCATGCTTGCAGATAAGATCGGTAACTTTAGGGTTAGTGTCATTGGCTTCACTCATTTTACTTTAGTAAACTTAATCAGTCATATTTTTGCTGTTGGTTGCCTGTTGGTCTAGTGGTTAGTGACCTTGACTGCTACGCCAGAGGTCGTGGGTTCGATTCCCACCCAGGACGCATAATAGTGTGATGAGCACGGTCATTTGTTCTGTGTCTGGGTGTCTTTATCTATATTATGTATGTATTTAGAAATATATAAGTATGTTTATCAGCAGTCTGGTAATAACAGTACAGGTTCTGCCTAGTTTGGGATCGGACGGCCGTGTGTGAAATGAATGAGATTATATATTATTATTATAAAGACAACAGTTTTTGGCTTAATGTAAATATTCAAAGATGTTTTCATTTACAAACAAATCTAAATATGCCTATGTGTTATAGAAAAATACAAAATATATACATATGTTAAACCCCATCAACAGATACTTAAAGGTATGTAGGAGTTCTATGACTATGATTGATAAAAATATGTGTGTAGGAAAACTGTACAAGGTTAAAAAAGTGATATAACCATGTAAACATGGATCATGTACTTGTGTTTGAAGAGAAACTGATTATGTTAAATTATATTATTAAATAAGAATTGTAAAACTGCGCAAATATACACTTTGAAGATTTTTGAACATTGAATATTGCAATGCGAAGTTGCGTAGCCGTCGCACGCAGTTAAGACACGCATATTTTTCCTAGGAAAAAATATGAATTAGTCTTTGAAATAGTTGTTGTTTTAACGATAAGTACAACAACGGGCTCTGTACAAGATGCATGTTAACAGTCACCTTATATAATGCATGGCTATGCAATAGTTAGCATGTTACTATCTTATTAAATAGCCTCTTGCTGTCATGGTGGTTTTTATCCCAGTGGTAATCTTGTTATCTGGTTATGATCATTTGAAATTCAAAGTCTCAAACACCGGTATGACAGACTTAATTTAGTTACTCGTGATCGATATCCATTCGAATTAGGTTTAAGCAGTAGAAGTGTTATTTGCAGCTCTGGAACTACCTGTATTTTGTGTAAGAGCTTGTACTTTTTGTAGAAAACGCGAAAATAGTGTCCAGTTGTTACGTATTCATCATCGTTTATAAAATTAGGTTGTTAAAACATGACAAGTATCTCCGGCTGCCGATTTGAAATATTTTTTCAGTTAAACGTAAACCTATTTAGGAGCTTAATTTATGTCATTACATATTCAATAGTGATTGTGTACCAGTCGTTTCGCTTCTATACAATCAGCTTAATCCCGTGCGTTCCGTAGCTAAATTAAAATCTATTCTGGCCACAATGACCTTTGCATTGTATTGTAACTGTTAGTGCGGACAATCGGTGTCTACGTACATACATTATTATTACATGTATGGTAGGGTGTGCGCGGCGCGTGCATCACTGCTCGTCCCCGCAGGAAGTCGCACTGACAACTAATGCTTTAATGAATATCGAACGTAACGTGATCGTTAAAACAGTAGTAGGTGCGCTGTGATTATTGACTGTAAGAAAATGGGTGCTTCCTCATTGTGTCAATTGCAAATGAATGTCAAATGTTAGACAACCTTCTCAGAATGATATACTTCCGCTAATTGTGTAGGTACTCGTATTGTCTAATAAAACAAAAGAACTTACAGCAGAAATTCTCTTAATGAAATCTTTTATCAGGGTAGGGGAGGCTGGCAGGTTAAGTCCTCGCAAATTTTTCTCTGTGGGTGGTGTATATTGGTCTTACCAAGAAAATCTAAGGTAATATTTTTTATAATGAAATGAAACGCTGCTACGTAAATAAATAGTCGTAATTGTTTTGCTTCAATGAACAACTTTGTCGCCTAAAACACACAGCTGTAATTACATATCTTACAATTCTGTAGGTCTTAACTAAACATTAATCTGTTCAGACACGAACACCTTTGTACAAAATGATCATTTGGGACCTTAATGGTATATTAACGACATACACTTGAACAATGATAAGTGTTGTGTTGTGTTAGGTTTTTTCACCAGTGAATATGTCCTCGAACTTCTCTGTTCTCTGATAATATCTGTTATTGCGAACTAAAATTGCATGTAAATTCGACAAATTGACGTAGTTTTGCTGATCATTGTCGATAAGTGCTGTATCCTGTTTATTTGCAAGTGATTGTAATCTGTATTTTGAGATGACGTTTCAATGAATGGTTGGCCCTGAAATATAGCACTTAGGTCATACTGAAACTTTCGGGCTTCTGAAAAATCTGTAGTTTTAGACTTATGAAATATTTGTTATCTTTTTAAGTACAATTTAAAAAAAATGATAAGGTTTTTTTTATTGCCCTAACATTTTGTACATTTTCGCATTTGTTGGAACCATTAAAAATGTCATTCTTCCTTACGGACTACTTCAACGGCTACAGGACTCGTAAAACGTCCGCTAAGGTATAAGGGCTACGACTTTAGCGGAATGTGAGAACGCATTATTGTAGTGAAGGACGACAGTACTTCAAAAACTTTTTTGAAGTACTGTCGTCCTTCACTGATACTGATTTGTGGTCACTGTCCTATCGTCTTTAAGCGACACTGTCATGTGTACTGTACTAATTTTCCAAAACAAAAAGGAACAATTTACTTATCTGTTTCATGTAATGTTTCAAATTTTCTTAACTTTATCTGGCATCTTCAATAAGAACGATCCATTCTGTCTACTGGTTTCCTCTTTTCCGTAATTTCACAAAGCCATGCGCCCAGGGTTGGTTCGTTGTTCCGATATTTTGGAAAATTAACAACTGTCATTGTACTTATTCTCAATTTACGGCATCACTCGTCCTGCCACAGTTTCTGGTCTTCTGTTAAAATATACATGGATACCATGGAGTGCAAAGTTCCGAACCTTTAGATGCATATGAAAAATATATTACAATTTTCTCATTTCAATGTTTAATACAGGGTGCGAGACTTTTCTGGCCAGTGATATTTTGTCTGGGTGCTTGACTGGCCTGGTGCTTTAGCTGTTGGTGACCCTGGCTGCTAAGCCAGAGGTCATGATACCAATAATTATGTGATGAGCACAATCATTTGTTCGGTCTGGGTGTAATTTGTCTACAATATGCATGTATTTAAAAATATGTAAGTATGTTTATCAGCAGTCTGGTTACTATAGCACAGGTTCTGCCCAGTTTAGGATCAGACTGTCGTGTGTAAGATATGCTTTTTTTTTAATGTTAGAGGGGGCAGACGAGCAGACGGGTCAACGAAGTCAGCGAAAGTCACAAACGCGTTGCCGGCCTTTTAGCAAGGAGTACGCTATTTTCTTGAAGGTTTGAAGGTTGTATCGGTCCGGCAATACCGCAGACGATAACTTCCATAGCTTGTTTGTGTGAGGTAAAAAGTGTCACGAAAAGCGCACAGTAGCGGAGCGCCAATTATTCAGGTGACGGGAATGATAATTTTGACGTGTGGAACGTGTGGAGGTCAGAAAGTAGCGGCAGGTAGTAGTCAATTCCTCGGAGCACTCTCCATGATATATACTATAGAGAATGCAGAGTGAAGTCAAGGGATCGAGCCGATCGGAGATGTTTGCTATCGACGATTCAAGTCGCTCTTCATTGGATGCGGTCCAGAGAGAGAAGCTGGTACTGAGGTGCCCCTGCATAGACATAAGAACAGGGCCTCAATTCTGCTATTTTATGTTTACGCCAAGCCACTGTCAGACCACTGACACGCTATTGAGATGCCATCGAGTGGCCATTGACATCGGTATAAATATCGGTAGTTGAAAATTTATTACGTTTTTTGAGGAAATTATTTATTTATTTTTATTATAATAAATTATTATAATAATATATATATATATACTCGTATATATATAACCATTGATGGTATTCCTCTTCAAAGTACAAACAAAGTTCGGGACCTAGGCATTACAATAGATGCAGGTTTAAAATTTTATATACATATTCTTGACACAGTCGCGAGTGGTTTTAAATTGCTGGGATTTGTATTGCGCAGTAGTAAAGTTCTCAAAAACCCATGCACTAAGATATTTTTATTCAGTTCCCTAGTTAGGCCAGTGTTGGAATACAACTCCATTGTATGGAATCCCAATTACGAGGTCTACAATAAACGTCTTGAGAGTGTCCAAAAGCAGTTTCTTTATCACTTATGCTATAGTGACGGTAAAGCTTCTTAGCTTTACTTGTTACTAATGTTTGCATGCTGTGGTCTCCTATAATTGAGGGAAGGGTACACCGAAAGATTACTGTGAAGTATTTATTGTAAGTCATAACAACTGCGTATAGCCTTTGTTAGAGATCATTAAATTATAAAAATAAATATATATACTACTTGTTACTTGCTATAAAAAGGACCAAGTATTTTCCATAATCACTCTCGCGAAAATAAATTCTTATAGTTTTTGCTTCGACAGGAAGTCATAACATGAAAACTTGTCATATTATGTAACTAACAACTTCTGACAGAATAAAAGTGTATCATAAAAAATATACAGTGAACAAAATAATTGTACTTAAACTGTTTTATTAAAATAAAACACTCTGATGGCACTGAAACACGGTCATGCGTTTAATTATTACGTCTGATTCTATAGCCTACTGCCAGATAACAGAGCTCAAGAAGCAGAGTCAGAAACATACTGTAGCAATTTTAGGGACTCGTATGTTCGCTCTGTTACTGAATGCATGTCGTACAACTCTCTTGAAGTGATTTTCGACTTTCCCCAAGTGACTTCTATGTTTTTGAAAAGAACCTTAGTCTAAATGCGGTAAGAAAATAGTAAAATATCATCAACAGCCTTTAATGGTCCACTGCTGGACATAAGCCTCTCCTTAGAAAGGAGGTTTTGGCCTACTATACCACGCTGGCCAGACGGGTTGGTATAGGGTTTGTGTCAAGTTTTCCTTCTCTCTGCAGTGTTGTTGTTCTGCGTAGTTTTTTCCCTTAGTTGACTCTTACAACACCCACGGGATGAATAGGGGTGGTGAGAATCTGTATTCTTAATCCGTCACCACACGGACTATATATACAAACTATATATAAAATATAGTTTTACATATTTGCATTGTTGTAATATTTTTTTTTTAATAATATTGCCCAAAACAGTGTAGTTACCAGTCTATAGACAAGAATTAACAAGAAAATGACATTATAATGTTATAATTACTAGTGATACGACATTTGGTTGCAGGTTTAAATTTACTTAATACTGGTTAGAATAAAGGAACTCTATTTTATGAATTATTAATAGTTTACTTAGTATGTATTTTCCATACATATAAAATAAACCATATTTTAGTTAATATCGTATTAATATAAATACGTGTAATTCATTTAGCTGTTGCTGGCGCTGTCTTCAGCGCTAGGAGGTGCATCAGCTCTGTTACTTCTGGCTGTACCTGTTGGTCGAATCACCATGACTTTCCCACCGAACGTGGAGCTGCTTACAACGTGCCATGACTCAGGCATGCGGTTGAAACTCATGCAAGACTACCCTTGTGTGCCTCTTCATCCTTATTCTTACGATATCAACTTGACGTGAGTCCAAAACTATTTTTAACTGTAATATTTTTTATAAAACCTAAAAATACAAAAAAAAAACTAAATTGACAGGACAGATTTAAACGTTTTTTAAATATTACAATAATACTTAGGAGTAAAGATCATCGATGGAGTTTATCATAACACCCTGCAGGATTTTTAAGATTTAGAGCTTCTTTTACAACTTTAAATACAGTTATCCGTAAGTTGACTGTCGAATGTATACCCAGTTTTAACAATTTATAAATGTAAACTTTACACTATTACACTATTTAAGACCCAACCGGTTCGCGTAACCTACGTAATACCTTGCATTACACATTTCTGTAAAACAACGTATTTACAGTATTTTATACTTAAATTTCTTTAACTAAGATTAAAATATAAGGATTGGTAAAATGTATACTTAAGAACCGTAGGTACATGTAATGTGAATGACCTACTTACAGGGAAACATCATCATCATCAACAGCCTTTAGTAGGCTTTTAGCATCATCAACAGCTTTTAGGAGAGGCTTAAGTCCATTGGCTGGACATAAGTCTCACTCCGTATTCTTAATCCGCCATCACACAGATAATATTGGCTTATGGAATCATAATAACTGTAATGAGCTCTAAATTTAAGAAAGCTAAGTCAGAAGTTAAGTTGTAAATGGGCCTTTCCCTCTCTCTCCTTTCTAAGGAGAAGAGATCATCATCTTCGTTAATTCCGTCTCTTTTTTATTCGTTTGTTTATTAATTTATTCTTCATTCAATCGATTTCATTTTTAGGTTTTTTGATTAGCTGTGATATAAAATAGATCTAAGATATAATTTATCCCCACAGGTTTTATTTATACTAATATTTAAATTTAAAAAAATATTTTTTCTTCCTAGAATTGCATCGTGTGGCTTTCTTTGCAATCTTCCCGAAGGTTTATCTACCGAAGATACCGATGCTTTTCTACAAACAAACTCCTATGACATACATCTACAATCAAGAGTTGACAATCAACGACTGGTTTATCGGCATACGGTTATGTCAACGTTTGCTCAAAAAGTAGCGCCGAAGATAGACCAAAGTACATCACGACTAATGACCAACGACGCTTACTTTAATGCAAGAATCTCCAAAGTATCTGATCGTAAACTATTCTTCCCAGCACCGCGTTTGTATCAACTAGAATGCACTCATGATGCTAGTAATGGCTCCTGTATATTTGGGAAAAATGATATTTTCAATGAAACAGACGATAACATTGAAGAACAGATATTACGCATGAGAATATCTCACGACGCACAAATTGCGCCTCACGACATTAAAAGTTATTGGGTGAAATCGGTTTCTACCGACAATGTTACGAAATTTGATGAAGACTATGATGGCGTTGACGGTGTTACATGCACCGACAATCTTGTAAGTATTTACTTAGTTTATGCAAAAAATATGCTTTGAATGGTTCTTTGTTGTTGTGTAATAAATTAATGGATAGGTTTTGTATTTTTATAAAGTAATTATTTTTGATTATTGTATAAATTCTGTAATATTTACATTGTTATATTATCAACAATAGTTTGCGCTGCCTACATGTACATCGAATATTCACGTCATAAAAATAAAATCGGTAACACACAAGAAAATTTATGGTAATAATAGTTTTTTCATTCATCAGGGAAAAGAAGGAGTAAAAGTACAGACAGGCTCCAGAAAATTGTCAAGATGTATGGCGGCATGCGCCGCAACTACTCCTCGTAAAGGTCTCTGCCAAAACCATCAGCAGCAAATCGAACTTGACCCTGCGTTTACCTTCTGGGCATATCTTGCTGTAAGTATGATGATATATAATATTGTTACGATGCTCGGAGACCACTAGGACTTCTGATTTAGTGTCATTCTATTTGTTATGAGAGTCATGACATCAAAACACATTTTATAACATTAAAATACGAATATGAGTTTTTTGGTCTAGATAGCTTTTAATTATAACAGCGTATAATCAGATAAACAATGGGACTAAAACACATCAGTACATTAATTAATTTGTTTTGAATATTTTTCATTCCATTTTTTGGATATTTTGCATTCCATTTTTTTTTATAATACTTTTCATTCCATTTTTTGCATATTTTGCATTCCATTTTTTATTTATAATATTTTGCATTCCATTTTTTATTTATAATATTTTGCATTCCATTTTTTGCAATATTTTGCATTCTTGAGAAATGTTTTTTTTTATAGATATAATAAAAAATATGTCATTATTATTGTGACTGTAAATATCAAGCAAAATGGGTTTAGTCTGATTGATCACCTCCATACTCTTGAGTCTGGTAAATGTAACGACATGTGAGGTACGAATAAAATTCTTAGTGAGCACGTGGAGCGTTAACGTAAACTCATGCAGATTGCGCAGCGGAACCGCTGATGGGAAGATTGTCGGTTAATCGTCACTAACTGGGTAATGGCGAACTTGATACGGAGAACGAGTGACCCGATCCATTCCTTGCGTACGTCCTATTCTCATTCCGTATACGTCGTATGGCTGCGCCAAGTTTTCGCTTCCGTGTATAACTGGACACACACACAACTTTTACTACAATTTTTCTATGAAATTGCGAGAAAAATGCAAGAGTTCTTTCGATGCAGTTCTATATAAAAATTGAGATCTGTATTTGTTGTTACAGTTTTTCGATAACGTCAATGAGCTCATAAATAAAAACTGGCCGAGTTTTTATCACGTAGTATGAGGTCCCATCGTTTAAAGTTTTAAACTAAGTAATTTTAAATACCGGATACATACAAATATCTCATTTGAAGTAAATTTTAGTTTTAACTTCCACATAATAATTTCAGAATTTGTTTGACTATTATCCATAACTTGTACAGCTTACTTAGCTTTCCTTTTCACTCCGTTGTATGTACTCGGTATGTATCCGGTGTATATTCTACTACCTTTGTCTTATATTCAAAGTAAAGTTTACTAGAAGAAGAGTTTGAGTGAGTTTATTGTCCGCCCGGATCCCAACGCCACCCGCGTTGGGATCCGGGCGGACAATAAACTCAAACAAGACTTTCGAATGAAGCCTAATCTTTCAATCATAAATAAGTTCTAGACACCAATTATATTAACTTACCTTCAACAGTATTAACATAACTATATACTCGTAACAACGTGCAGGGATTATTCTTCAATTTATTTAATAAATATGTTCTAGACGTAGACGTAAAATAAACAATAAGTCAAAGTTAAATATCTTGATTTACATTGTTCTCCAGTAAACTTGAACTCTTAAAAGAGGTATAAGGAATTTTCTATACGTATAGGTAAATAATAAGCGGCGTTGGCATTAAATTTAACTAAATATGTGCATCTACTTAAATAAATACATGCGATATTAAGATCTAAGTAGATGAACAAATATTTACGCTTTTAGATACGGATGTGAAATTGGATCCTGTTTCTTAAATTTATACACTCGTATATTGTTGCAACATATTTATAATTTTTATTTAGCAATGAGCTCAAGGGTATTCTTGCATGTTTCTTAAATTTTGAGTGTACAACCAAGAGATGTTTGATGTATTGACTAAACTTTCAATGAACTTCATATAATGGTCCAGGGTAGGTATACGCCTGCCACCTATTAATCAAACGACCCTATCTTCTTTCATTTTTGAGAAAACATAAAAGTATCTCGCTGCAGTGTCATGTCGAATCTGGATCCGATTGAAATGGCGTGTCAAGACTGAAAGAAGAAAGATCTATTTCATAGTTTTGATTTTATTGTCTCATTGCTGGAGGTAATCTAAGACTAATCCGTATTACATCTTACTCTTTGTAATAGAATTAAGTAGCATTTTTCTTAACGTAAGAGAACTCATTAGAAAAATGAAAATGGCCTTCATCATTCAGTTTTGTGTTAATAAAATTAGTACAAGTAACAGTTTACATGTACATATGTGTTACTAGCTTACTAGATTTTGGTGACCGAGATCCGTTTTTTGTCCAGTTTATATAACATAAGATTTTTGCGACCTCTTTAACAATAATCGTTACATTTCAGTCAATTTACATGTTACCATCATGAATTATACCCTTCATTTTATAATATTGTTACGAGCGGGGTATGTAAGAAATAAAAGTTGTCGGATAATTACTTTTTAATTTATTTCACTGTATTTACAAACACTGTATTTATAACAAATACGAAATCACTATATAACTCGTTAGTCGCACTAGAAATTCGCTTCAATGTTAATTCGCTGTGTCGTAAAAGAAAACTGTCCCGTACGGCCAACACGCATCGCTTTTATAGTGCTATCGAATTCACTAGAATGATCACTAGTATTCGAGTATTCTAGTATTCGAGTCCGTTCCAGACAAATCCATCCTATGGATGGTCCATCCCATTTGGTTTGTAGCTTCGGCGTTCTCCCTTTCGTGCACTGCACTTCGGTATGACAGAAGAAACGGTTGGATGTGTTTGTCCCAACCTCTTTGCCTACTTGCCACAACTTTTGCCAGATACCTCTCCAGTGTTTGGTTAAATCGTTCTACCATTCTGTCATTGGTTCTGGTTTTGTGAGCACTCATCACTCGACACATACATCTCTTGAAATATTTGAGACTCAAAATTTCTTCCTTGGTCACTATGAATTTCTAAAGGCACTCCAAAACGACAGAAAACTTCGTGCACTAATTTATCTGCAACTGTTGAAGCCTCTTGGTTGGGAATGGCAAAGACATCTGGCCACTTGGTGAAGTAATCCATTACAACCATGAAGTACTTGTTTCGCTTTCTCTTTCAGGAAACGGCTCCCCCTACATGAATTGCAATAATTGCCCAGGGTGCACCAACATTGTACAATTTTCATGCACCAACATTGTACAATTTCAATGCACCCCTGCTACATGTATGGGGTCCCTTCATCGCCGCACAACTAGTACACTTGCGATACCAGTCTTCAACATCATCACGACAATGGATCCAGTAGAATCTCTCCCTTTTCTTTAACAACACCTCTTCACTCCCATATGGCCTCCTGAACATTCGTTATGGTAGAGCTGCAGGACAGCCGGTATCTTAGCTTTACGGACAACCATTTGCAGATGACAGCTATCTCCTCTAGGGTTTTCCCATTTACGTTATAAGACTCCTTCCTTGATGACTAAGCTATACCATTGAGCCCAATAACTCTTCGTGGTCGAACTCATCGACGCAACAGACTCCAGTTAGGCTTAGGAGTATTAGCTTTAATCCATTCGAGAATCGGTTTGATATCTGCATCCTCCTGCTGTGCTTGTTGTAGGCTTTCCTTCCATTCATTGCTAAGGTCCGTCTTTAGCGTCCTTACAGGTACAGCTTCCTTTACTTCTTGCTTGGCACAGTGCTTGTATTCTTCAGAGCAAGGTCTTTTTGATAATGCATCTGCGTTACCATGAGATTTTCTACTTCCACATTTTGAACATCGCGTTCAATCACGAAGTCATATTCATGTAATAGCTCAATCCATCTCGCGACTTGTTCTTCAGGATTTTTGAATTGTAGCAGCCATTTTAGCGCTGTGTGGTCAGTTCGGAGATGGAATTTACGCTCAAGCAAATATTTGTTGAAATGTTGCAGTGTCTTCCAGACGAATAAGAATATTCCAGTATCGCGTTACTTGCAGCGCCATCTAGCGCTGTGAGTATCAGAATAATTAATAACAATCCTAATAGTTGTACTCTACGTGATACTAGATGGCGCTGTCCTCCACATTCCATACAATTGTGGAATAATCGAATCATTTAATCCTATGGCGCAACAATATGTAAAGTTTAGTGTTATTGCAAGTAAGTGGACGTAAGTATTAAAGATCTTTTTAATAAAGCAATATGAAAGATTTCTTTTGTAATTTATTTAATTTTTATGTTCAATCGAATGTTATCCGTTATTGTTTCTGGAGAAACATTCGAAGGACAGCATAGCATAGCAACTCGAATACATTACACAATAAAAATATTCGACTAACATTAGTAAGTTGCTAATATGACTAATTCGCCACAGTTCCGTCATAGAAAATTAAAAAAAAATGTCATGGTAGCATGTCCTAGCAGCAGCTGTTATACGTATCTACAGCTTTTCAAGATGCTCGTGTGGTATGTAAACGCTTGATAATTATCCAAAATGCTCCATTCAACACAGACAGCCCTGGTTAATGATTATTTTTGATTTTCATTGCACATTTGTACAGATGAAATCAAGTCAATTCTTCTAATGCCCACTTACATGGTGAAAAACTACTAACTCTAAGATAAGTGGCATACGCATACTGTTGCTATTTCATATTTTGTACTCGAATTAATATTCATAATTAGACTTGCAACGAATATTCGGTTACTATTCGGTATTCGGCATATTCGGCTGCTTTTATTATATTCGGCCGAATACCGAATATCTACATATTATTCGGCCGAATACCGAATACTTAAATAATATATTTTGTCATTGAGAAATAATTGGTAAAATGAAAAATTAAAATCGATTGATTACGTATATATTCATATTTTCATTTCTGTTATAATAATTTAAGTAGTCATTGGTGCATAACACAGGTACATAATCATCTTCTGAATTGGAAAAATGGAGGATTCTATGTATTTGAATTATTGTGGTAATCAAAATTTAGAAGGGTAAGGTTCTCATTTCTTTTATAATAATTTATTAAGTAGTCATTGGTACATAAAACAGGTACATAATTTAATTCACGTCTGTACAAGTTTTTGGCGCTAAAATCCAGCCGAATACTTTTGCCTAATATTCGGCTATTCGGTCAGGGGCCTCGCCGAATATTCGGTATTCGGTATACTGCCGAATATACTATTCGTTGCAAGTCTATTCATAATTTAAAAGTTACGTTTATCTGATGTTTGAATTGTGACCTCAAGGATATTTAATGATTTAAGTAACTATTCTTAGCCATTTACTACATAGGTAATACGTCTTTGACCCTATCATTCATGTCGAACTAAAAATAATTAAGTAGGTAAGCACACGTGAAGTGTGTACCTAAGCTCTTGTACGAATGGAGAACAAGGCCGCAGCAAGTCTCTAGGTCATATGTAATTACGCAAGGGACGATTTTATGTGAGGCTCAAATTGTTGAGATGTTAATCAGTAAGCCTTTCGTGTTTTTTTTTTCGTTATTTTTAAATAAGTAACTAGCTGTACCCTGCTAAGCTTCGCTGTGGCACATTGTGATTGCAAAAAATAGTTAAAAACCATCTTTGAAGTGGGTGTATAGTGTCAAAATTTGAGCCCATACACAAACCAACTTAACATTTTTTTAAATATAGAAAAGTATATAGAATAATTTTCTTGATTACTTTTTTTCCTTGTGGAAGCTCCATTTACTGCTGAAGAGAGTGAAATCTGTTGGTGTCATGTGACACTAAAGGGACGATATGCACGCGTTGCGTCGAGTACATTACCAATCCCTTGCAAGTCGCTTCGTTCGCACTTGAAAGTCGCTTCGTTCTTTGGAACGGTTAGAGGCAGACTGACCTGTAAATTCTGTGTGCTAGCCTCCAATAACCACCTATTGTACCTAACAGAGGATTAGATAAATTATGAAATAATAATTATATAATACTTTTATAAGTGAATGTTTATATATATTATATAGGCAAAGTGATCTAAAGTGAGCTCACAAAACTCTATTTAGTATAATATAATTTAAAAACACCCATTTTCAAACCTACGATGATAGTTCTAAAAATACATTAATACAATGTAGTTACGAAACCTATTGATAAAATATCCTATATTCTCTTTTTCTTCTATAACTTCTATTTAGACAGGCCTGTTGGTCTAGTGGTTTGGGACCCTGACTGCTAAGCCGGAGGTCGTGGGTTCGATTCTCACCCAGGACAAATAATTGTGTGATGAGCACGATCATTTGTTCTGTGTCTGGGTGTAATTTATCTATAATATGTATGTTATTTATAAATATATAAGTATGTTTATCAGCAGTCTGGTTACTATAACACAGGCTCTGCCTAGTTTGGAATCAGACGGCCGTGTGTGTGATGTGTAAAGATATTATTATTATTATTATTTAAAAACGTCACAATTAATATTGACTACGTTATCCTCTTAAGTAGCAAATATTATTATATGTCAATTGCTTGCTCAACCCACGTAAACAGTACATTATTGCCTGTATGTGAATAAGAGCGATAGCTACCTCTATACCAAATTTTATCCAAATTGGTCTAACCGTTTTAGCGTGAAGAAGTGACAAACATACCCACACACACTCACAAACTTTCGCCTTTATAATATTAGCGACTACTGGAAACTACTGTTTTGTTTTTACCAAAAAGTAAATATTTAGTACTTCTAGTTCTTTGGGTGCTTGTTAGGAAACAGTAGCTGTTGTTTTACACAAAGTCACGGCGGAAACAAAAGCTCACTGCCGATTCAAAAATAATTGTTTTAACTTGAGTATACGGCGTTTAAAAATATACATATTACTTTACTTTACATTACAGCTGTATAGAAAGTTTGCAGGGTTTCGTAGTCCTCATAAGTAACCTTCTAGTTTTGCCACGTCTGTCTGCTATCTGTTCGTCTTACCGCTGCTCAGCTTTGAGACAGTTAGTAGGTAAAAAAAACTAACTTTATGTTTAGGGGTCTACATGTAAAGTAAGTATTTTTAGCTATCAAATAATGTAGGATATCGTCCGACAGGTAGAACAAACACATGGCAAAAGTGTTTGTTCTACCTGTCCTGAGAAAATTAAACTTTACTCGTAAAGTGCTACTATTTCTGGGAGTCAAGTTGGCCTCAGAATCAGAAGAAAACAGATAAGCTAGTACGAGTAGTGGGCTATTATGTCCAAAGTAGCTAGCAGGTCTAGTTTTATCAACTTATGATTGATCACTGTTTGCTTTAGACAAATTAAAAAAATGCATCTATTTTCAGGTAAAATGAATACTGACTTTTTTTAAAGCTTACGAACAATTGATTTGCACTTTCCTATCACAACCCGTTAATTTATTCGATAGAGTTATCATTAACCCCCTTTAAAATTAGAAATAGTCTACCGCCGAATCAGGCTGCGGATGCGTAGACTTGACACCCTGAGTGTAGCCACGGTTGGACGGAACGGGTTTTCTCCTCCAGCCACCATTGTGGTCAGCCACAAGAAGGCAACATATATGTGTGTCTAGGTTTTACCTAGTTAGGAGGAGTTAGATTTTTTATTTTTAGATTAGCTGAGGGGGTGCCCGGGATTTTGCAAGCCGTCGTCAGGAAGCTACTATTCATGTCATAACAACAGTTATTTTCGGGTTTTCTCCTATTATGGACTCAGTATGGCACACAGTAAAATGTGGTTTTTAGTTGGTTGAATTAAGCATACCGTCTCACCGAAAGCCACAAAACCATGAAGTTCAACCAAGTTTACATAGGTAGTGTAGATAAATTAAATCCAAAATCCCAAACCCGAAGCTTGAACATGAGCCTCAAAAATAATGTCTTCCTTTACTTCAGGTTCGCGTGTTTATCGGCATTATCGGTGGTACAGCGTTTGCGATGTTCGAAGGCGCTGTAATAGCTATCGTGAGGGAACAAAAGGCTGACTACGGTTTGCAGAGAGTATACGGAAGCATTGGAGGAATGATCTCATCACCACTCTCCGGACTGTTAATAGATTATGCTAGCCGAGGAAAAGGATACACAGATTTCAGGTAAATCATGCTGCAGAAAGTGCCGGATGAGGCTGATATAATTATTATTACCTATTGGAATTTCTCCACTATCTGTTAAAGATGTTATTCTCCCTTACTCTACCCTTACTAATTTAATTTTAGAATATAATATATTATAATATATATTATATTCTATATATATATATGAACAATAAACATGTTCTATGAGATAATTCATGTCGCTTTGGCTCGACGACGAAATTAAAAGTAACGGAACGTTAAGTAATAGGTAATGCGCTTGTCATTTTACTAACATTAATAAATCGTCAGTGATGCAGTACTTTAAATTTCTAGGACAAAAATGTCCCGAATTTGATAGTAGGTTTTTCAAATACTGATTTTAATTACCGTCCTTCTATCTTTCTACTTATAGTTTAGACAAATATTGAACTCATATTAAATTTGCCGATTTATTATTATTTTAATTTAGTCGATTTGGTAATAAACTTTCGCTTTATCATTAGCATTTCCTAATACGTAAACGATTCTTGACGAAACTCTTTTACAGGGTTATGAGGTAGACATAGCACGCCCTTAATTAAATATATGACCTTCGTGTGTCGATTTAGTGTTTATTCAAATACTTTATGTAAATTAAAAGTAAGTTCTGTCTATTTTTATGTATTTTTTACAACTTACGAATAAAACAAATTGTGCATACTGAACATAAACACTCATTTAGGATCATTTCTCTATTTCGTGGTTCTCTATCGCGTGATTGGATTGTCACCAACAAATGATGACACTATACACTTAGGTTGTTTAGTGTCTGTTAATTGTTATAATAATTATTGTTAATCCTACAAGTGTTGTTTTATTTGCCATATAAATCCTTTCTATAGTTGAACACAATTTGTATTCTGAATAGTAGTCAATGAATAAATGTTTATGTTGTAATAAAATATGTATTTATATATATATTATAATATATGTATGTATAAGCATACACAGGTGATCTGAAAAGTTTCCGACCGCAACACGAAGATGGCAACACTCATGAATAAAAGCTAGTGAATTCCGTTGTTCATCTGTTGACAGTGCCTTGCCAAAGTTTCAACCCTTTTGGACGCGCAGTTGTTGTGTAACAGTCGTTTGAGTGAGGTGATGTGAGTGTTTTATGAAAATGAACAAAATCGAGTATCGAGCTGTCATTAAATATTTGTTTTTGAAAGGCAATACGCCTACGCAAATCAAAGATGAGTCGGATTCTGTGTATAGGGACTCTGCACCATCATTTACCACAATGAAATTTTGGGCAGCTGAATTTAAACGTGGTAAGAGCTTGGGAGACGATGAACGTTTGGGACGTCCAAAAATGCAACTACCGACGGAAACATCGCCAATTAATTTAATTTAATTGAATTTAGCTTAAGTTTTTTTCCTTTTAAATGCAAAGTGTTGTACATTTTCAGAAGTCATTTTTGTTATTTTATTTTATTTTTTTGATAATTTTTATCTGATTTTATGGTTTATGACTGTGTTTCTGATTGTGTTAATTTTGTTAAATTTGGTACAATTTCAATGAAAAACGACGAGTACTTTTTTGGACGGGTTAAAGAGCATCGCTGGAAGAAGTGTATAGAGTTACAAGGAGACTATTTTGAAAAATAAAAACTGAGAAAAAGGTCTTGTATCTTTGTTAAGTCGTAAACTTTTCAGACCACCCTCGTATACCTGTCAATATACAGATATTTATATATCGTTAGATTTTTTAGTTGTATTCCCTCTCAGCAAGTACCTGGTATTAGGAGCAATATTTTTTTTGTTTCTGCATCTGCGTTGAGTCACGCTCGCCTGTCAGTGTTTTAACATTTTTTTTCTTTAAAATATGAAATTTCCACAGAAGCATAGATTGATAAAGTGACAGCTAGATGTGCAACACAGTAAACATCAATTGCCTTACTTAGATATTTATTTAGAGATGTTTATAATAGTATTATATCTCACACATCTCACACACGGCCATCTGATCCCAAACTAGGCAGAGCCTGTACTATAGTAACCAGACTGGTGATAAACATACTTATATTTTTAAATACATACATATTAGAGATAAATTACACCCAGACACAGAACAAATGACCGTGCTCATCACATAATATTTGTCCTGGGTGGGAATCGAACCCACGACCTCCGGCTTAGCAGTCAGGACCACTAGACCAAGAGGCCAAATGATGTTAGTAGAGCTTGTTTATATTGTTGCGCCATAGGATTAAATAGTTCGATTGTTCGAGAATTGTATTAAATGTGGAGGTATCTATATCATCTAGTATCACGTGAAGTACAACTATTGAGTTTGTGATTAATAATTCTGATACTTAAACTTAAAGGGTAACCGATGCTGGAATATTCCATCGCATCTTCGGGATTACTCTAGTAAATTTGATAGCACTATAAAAGCGGAGCGTGTTGTCGTACGGGACAATATTGTTATACGACACGGCGAATTAAGATCGAAGCGAATTTCTAGTGCGACTAACGAGTTATGTAGTGATTTCTTGTTTATAATAGTGAGTGTTTGTAAATGCAGTGCAGTAAAAGTAATTAGAAACCTCCTCTCTAAGGAGAGGCCTATGTCCAGCAGTGGACTAGTATAGGCTGTTGATGATGATGATGATGATGAAAAGTAAATAACCTACAACTTTTATTTTTTTGTATACCCCGCTCGTAACAATATTAAAAGCAATCAGTTTTCTTTTAATTTGAAGCTTCATTATTAATCACCAACCAAAAATAAAGCATGTCAGATTTGTTTTGCTTTCTATCTTATGTTTAGATTTGAATTATAAAGAGGTTAGAGGTTAGGGTTAAAGAATCTTCGAATTGAATGGTGAATAACAATTTTAGGTTAAAGCTTTTTTTTTAAATATCTTTAGGTGTTTTCTAAGGAGCATAGTTAAATTATTCTAATATCTAATTTGAATACATACTGTAGGCTGAAGTTAGACTGTAGACATTTAAATGTAATTTTAACTCACGACTAGTCGTGACACCACCGCGACCTAAGCCTTGGTCTGCCTCTCGCTGCGTCGTTGGTCGTGCTCGATATATGAATATAATCAATAAAACGAGTACCATATCCATGTTAGACCTTAGTTCTAAGAATGAAATCTAATACTAGTATGTAATTAAATAAGAATTTATAATTATGTTTAGTTTTCTATAGGTATATTATTCCTTTAGTGTGTTTGGAATAGATCGTGACATCGTGAGATGTCGCCACTTTGTTCGTAATGGAAGTAGGACAACGAAAAGTTTGCGGTTTTGAATGCATTTACTGTAATTTTTAATGATGATAGATCACAAAGCCTTCTTTAAAACACATAATGCAATCCATTTATCATATATTTAATATTATTATCTAATAGAGATATAAGCTTTTAGTTTAGTTAGTAGTAAGTTAGTTTAAAGAGCAATGCGATTCAGTTCTTAGGACTAAGCAATGAAGAGATAGTTAGCGATTAGGATTAGGGATTTATTAGTGTAGTAATTCGTAAATTTAGATTTATCAAATTTGCTAAGATAAACGTAAGTATTAACTGTACCTTGCAGAAACCCGTAGTTAATTGCCCTCCTAGCTATATTTAGTGAATAAAGTGACCATTAAGAGCTGGCCAAGTATTTCTTTTTAAAGTTATTTGTATAAAAATAAAGGGGTGAAAATCGCTACGATGCACGAGAAAGCTCGCTTCGCGTCGACAGCAATAGAGCCTTATTAAAGACAAGAAGCGACAAATTTTGTTATTTCTGTAGTTTCATATCATATAAAGGAAAGAACAAGTGTTATCATTTTAACTTATTTACCATAATTTTCTACATTAAAACGAAAAGTTTAGGACTCTAAGGTTTGTCTTTAAACCATTGAATTTAGTTGCAAGCACATCATTTCACATCTATTAGACCTGTTTACACTTTTCTTTGTATGTTCAGAATATAGAGTATTCACATAGTTTTCACTGAAGGCACTATAAAAAATCTCTTTATTACCTTTTTTATAATGAGGCATTTGTATTTTTCAGGCCAGCATTTTATTTGTACGCTGTGTTGAAAGTGGCATCAGGAGCCTTAATGTTAGGCATTGATCTAGAGTTCAAGCAGCCGGCGCAAAATCTTCTGGAGGATGTGATAAGTGTGTTTAGAAACATCGAAATTGTTGCATTATTTATTGCCTGCTTCATAATGGGTAAGGAAATATAAAAATAAATATTTATTTATTTATAAATTCATGCATAAATATATACATCGGCGGACTTAAAGCTTAAGGCATTCTCTGCCAGTCGAGTGATCGGGCAATGCAGGGAAAGAATGAGGTATACATAAATATCTAGATTTCAGACAGATACAGCCCATAGGTTGTTTAGTAATGGCTTAGTAACAGAATGTATTTTTAGTCTATATTAATATTGCTAGTAAAGACACTTGTAGTTGAAATATAGTCACGTGTACCTATAGCCACATAATATATGTATACTGCTTCGAACGTGTACAATGTACTCGTACAATCACTGCAGATTTCATTTTATCGTTTCTGCGTTACCAAATCGACAACTACCTTAAATATTAGATATAACTTAGTTTGCCAAAATAACTTTTGTAGTATAAATTTGTACTTGTTTTTATCTTTTTAGTTTGTATGATCTGAATACAAATATTTTCATTATTTTGTTGTCAGGTACGGCTTGGGGCTATATCGAAAGCTTCTTGTTCTGGTTACTTCAAGATCTGGGTGCTTCTCGATCTCTTATGGGTATCACTATCACAGTGGGTGGGATCGCTGGCCTGCCTCTGTTGGTGCTTTCGGGCCCCATCATCAGGAGATTAGGACACGCCAATGTTCTGTTCATTGGATTTGTATTTTATGCCATAAGGTTACTTGGTGAGTGAAAGCTATTGAAATTATTAATTGCTAGTTACCGAGTACAATTTATCTGAAAATATAAATTCACTCACTAGTTACAAACTTTGTCGTTTCGTGATATAAAATTGTGTTCATACATGGAAATTTACGCCGCTGAGTCCAAGACAAGGTACTGTCAGATTTAAAAATATAAAAATAAAGATTTAAAAAATATTTTTAAATCAAATGTAAAAATAACATTAATACATATTTTTAAACCAGAATTATAAAGCTACTGAAGCAGCAGTAGATCTGCGCTTAAGCATGCATAAATATCATTACATTTGTCACTTGACTCCGGACCCTATATTATACTTTACTAACGCCAAAAGTACAAGTACTCTGTACTTAATACCTGTAAGATTAGTACTAGTGAGAAAGAAAAAGAATTTTAGATATCAAAATTTGAGTTGGTTGGTTTGAATGGTTTTTCTAGTGAAACTCATTAACATACCATAAAATTAGAAATCCAAATACATTTGATGTTATTGCTTTTGTGGAGATGGAAAGGTAATGGAAAGCTACCAGAAACAAAAAGGAAAATTCTGTAATGGGAATGAATCCAAAGGTGAAAGTGGATTTACGGGTTATAAAGTCACCATTCGAGTTCTAAGGTTAATGGCTGAGTAGTGTCTTAAGTCATTTAGTTATTTCGGTACGGTATTTAATAGAATTTAGACCGTAATCATTATTGAAAATTTAAGAAAAATCATTTATGAATTGGTTTGTCTAACATTTTTTGTTTACTCTTGCACGTATACAAAAATGTATATTCGTTCATTATGTCTCAGAATAATAGAGCTTTGAAACTCTAAAGCCCAGTCAAGGTTAAAAAAAATGAAGGTACTAAATTTTCTATAACTATTGTTACTACCTCTAATGCTATAAAAATAAGAAAATAGTTCAAAAACAGCGAAGAAAGAGACTGAAGTGTATGTCTTTACCTTTATCCTAATTAAAATTAAGTAATCCAAAAGTTTTCACAAACGTTCGCTCGTCAAAAAAAAAGGATTCCCACCTATTCTAGAAAATGTTTGTTAATTGTTTTGTCTCTGCCTATTAACATACATTTCTGATAAATAACTGCTTATAACTTCAGCTGGCATACTCTATATTAAAAATAAATGTTATTGTTCTAACTCCACCTTACTAAATAAGTGTTAACAGCTGTTTTAAGTTATTCTTATCATTTTTGTGTGTCTCTTATTACATGGTTATTAATATGTATTTAAATAATATAACAGAACAGTAAAGAAATTCCCGAATATAATAAAATTTCATTAAAACTTATATTTACCAATTTCAGGTTACTCCTTAATCTACAACCCGTGGCTATGTTTAGTATTTGAGGCACTGGAGTCCGTGACGTCATCACTGTCATTCACAGCTGCTGTGACGTATGCAGCAAAACTGTCTTCTACTACCACAGATACTTCCGTGCAAGGGCTTCTTGGCGGACTGTATTATGGAGTTGGTGAGAATCATTTGTTTGAGCGTAACACATACTAAATAATAATAACTACACATATCTCACAAACGGCAATCTGATTTCAAATTAAGCAGAACCTTTGCTATGGTAACTGTTATAGGTTAATAACACCCAGATACAGAAAAATGGATCGTGATCATAACACAATTACTTGTCTTGGGTTTGCAATAAAACCTGCAACTGACTGCAATTTGACTGCACGGATGGCGTAGTGGTTTAAATGGTCGCCATGCCGCTTCCTACTACGCTGAGTGTTGTGGGTTCGATCCTCACATGGGACGACAGTTTATGTGAACCACAAATTGTCGTTGTGAGTCGGGGTGTTCTTTGTGTCCGTTCTATGTATGTTTGTAAAGTCCCCCGCGACACACATATTCCTAGTGCAGGAGTTGTCTTTCATTAAAAAAAACCCACGACCTTTGACTTAGCAGTCAGGGTCACTAACTGCTAGACCAACAGGCCAGTCAATAAATCAGTGATTGCTTGAATTCAATATTATTCACATCGCCTAAGTCGTTTGTTGGGTTCTTATGCAAGCGTTAATATAGATAAGAAGCGTAAAAATAAAAATATTCAGATTTAGGGCAATCACTTTCATTATCATCAGTCAATTTATCCGTCAGTTATAGTTGTAGTCTTGATTGTGTCGGACAGCAAAATATATCGCGTTAACGCTTACTGGTGTGGCAACGGATAAATAAAATAAACCATAGTCACACCAGTGTGGCAATATAGTGTGACTACGGATTGGTTTTAGGATTTAAAACATTGTTTCGGAATAAGAAAAACCTTTTGTAACATTATCTTACCATACTGGATGCATTCATTATGTTATCCGGTTGATGTTTTATATTCTTGTTTTTAAATTGAAGAGCATTGCCTTACTTTTACAAATAATATCGAAATAAGCTAACTGTATTTTTTATAAATGGTTTGTCATACAGCAGAAATAAATTTAATAATAAAAATAAATTTACGAAAAATATAAGGTACTTAAGTAGAGTTCGCTATATTCTTAAAACTGTCATGTCCCACAATTTTAGGACATTTATCTCAAGTATAATTATGATAGAATCCATACTTTATTTAGCCTATAATATTAAAACTTTATTATTTCAGGCAAAGGTTCTGGCAGTCTCATAGGCGGCTACCTAATGAAATTCTTCGGTACCAGACCAACCTATCAAATATTTGCCGGAGCTACATTCATTACTGGATGCATTTATTATTTATTTAATGTATTGTGTATTCGTAAGAGCAGCTCGCTTAATGATGACAACAGTTTTTGTAAGAAGAAGTCATTGCCCGCAGATATCGAATGTAATGAAGTTAATAAAAACGGAGATAAGGCTACTCCAGCGATAGATGTCGCTAAAATAACCGACGTAAAGCAGGAGAACTTACACTCGTCGGTAGATAAAACTAAGGAGGTGGACTTAAATCGGACGAAATTAGTGTCTGACAATGCAGATGGCGGTAGTGATTCCGGAATCGACAATCCGACTTATACTGACACCGAGACAGTGGACTCAAAAAAACGTGAAAGCAAAGATAATGTGTAGAATACACTGTGTGATGTGTATCTGTTAGGGAATACAAATTATAAGAATAATTTTGATTCTGAGTACCGGTTCAACACTAAATTAAAGATTAGTGTCTAGAATAATAACAAGCCGAATTTAAAAGTACCTTTGTACTTTAGTTAGTCTATAAAATCATGAAATAGTTATTTTCATACAAAAAGCAAACGTAATTCCAATAGTTTTACGGAAAAATATTCCTATGTCAGCATTTACCACTACACGCACTACACTATAATGTGTTACTTTGAACAGATGTTGTAAGGGTTTGGTCATCGTCACATCCTATTCACTTGTTGCAAAATTATCATTTAATACTTTCGATCAGTTTCATCGAAGTATAACACGACATTGTATGATGCAGTTTCCAGTAGTTTTTCATTCGATTTTTATACTTGTTACATGTTTTATGAATTCTTCTTAACAGTTTCTATAAATACATAAAATACGATTTATAATATATTTAACATTACATCGGCATTCGTGTATTGAATTTTACTATTAAATTGTTTTCTTTTGTAAAATAAGAATGCCAGAAAATTGAAAATTTGTGCACGTGAATGCAAAGTAACATTAAAAATTAGGTAATGTTAAGGAAAAAGTATACCAACGGGAATTTGTTGTAATATTAATTTTATTTTAATTGTATTCAACTTTTATCATTTCCAAGATCATTGGATTCAAGAGTTACTTTTAAGCACAGTTTGTTATAGATTGTGGTTTTCAAGTATGTACATGTATACAGTTGGAGCATTTTTTTGAATAGATTTAGTATTTAACATTGTGTCCAGCCTAAACCAAATTTTATTGAAATGTGTTTTTGTTACAATTAGATACGCAAAATTTGTTAATGGACATGTTATAGATTTTGCCTACATATAAATAGCAGAACGGCCAGGTTTATCGCTTTCAGCACTCTCCCTAACGTCCTACAAATAGTTTTTAACATAAAACAGAAAACTTCGCCAAACTCTGAGGGTGGAATAGCGGTATGGAGGACCGTAATATAAGTTATATCAAGGTCTGTGTCATATTGGAATTGGGATAAAGGAATAAAATAATTTAGTTTGTTATCTTCTTTGATAGAACCAATAAAGAAGTATATGTTTGTTTAAAATTAAATAGATATATATTAAAATTATATAAATTATTACTTATTTATTTACAACTTTATGCACTTGTGTACATCGGCGGACTTAATGCGCCAGGCATTCTCTACCCGCAAATCTTTGGGTGGTGTAGATATATGGTAAGGTAGGTGCACTGAGGTTACAGTTGTAATAGTTGTTATATAGTTTTAACTAACATATACAATTACACACATACATACACACATATACATACATACATTTTGTTACAGATACGAAGTTCTATTAATGCATGTATTTTATAGATTGCGACTTGTTTGAATTTTCAGTTACTTTATATTTAATAAATCCGCTCGGCCCTGAATATTAAGGTCATAGTTTGTCCTATATTTTACTAAATGGAGACGAAAATGACAATAATGTGATAGGCGAGCATATGATTAAGACTTACATCATTTAATACATCGAGATAGAGTGCCGCACTACATAATAGTTAACTAAAACAAATGGACCAATTTTATCATGCTGGTGTGAGTGACAGCTGTGTATTACATCCGCGAAACTTCAAGGTACTTTACTAATGTGTGTGTAACACATAACAATTGATAAAATACTCCCATTAAAATATGATGAATTTTATTCTACGACAAAAATATAATTGGTTATATACACACAGCGACAGCGGAAATGAATTTAGTGGTCATTATTATTTTCAACGCTTTCACAGCTTTAACAGTCTATCTAGACAGATAAATCAATGACCTGGATTAAGTCAGTATTATGTAGTTATTGTTTTGTATTATTATTATATACCTAATATATTTAGTTCAGCTAGATTTTCAATTTTATTTTTTTAAATACAAAACTCTTCTAACGTCTTTATATCTAAGACGTCTTATGTTTATCTAATGATACACATATCTACATATTTTTAAAATAAAATATATACGTGCATTCCTTACGTCATTAAGTTTTTATTATTAAGATTCATGTAACGCACAATACATAATTGTGCACGTAAGAAAAGATTTTCCATTATGAGAATAAGATATGTCTTCATCACTAAAAATAGTAATCTTATAACCTTTAAACATCTTTTAACGACATTCTGTAGTTGATATTAGTAACATATTTTTTCCCATATTATAGTGTTTTATATCTAAATCCTACACATCATTACGATATAAAATAAACTTGTTAATACGTGGTGTTCTGAACCTTAGTTTTTCAAAATTTGATTGAGATATTTCTAATTTAGTAATATTAAATATCCAATTGATCAAAATGTGGTATTTTAGACCTTGCCTAGTGCCATTAGAAATGGAATACAATAGAGGGGGGGGGGTTTATACCAAAAACTCCCCTTTCCATTTAAAAAAGTAAATATTACTTTGTAACGCCATAGACCTCGAAACACTATTGTGCTTAGTTTTTCATCTATGAACCATTTGAACGCTTTAAGTATTGTCATGTCAAAAGCATGAAGCGTTTTTCTTTTTGAGAAAAAAAATTCTATAAGTAATACCTACTACATAGACGTGTCTATGTAAATGTATATAAAAGTAATTTATATTATTATATACCAATGAAAGATCGTGAAAGTTTAAAAGTTAGCACAATTCCTTGGATACTAAACAATCTGTTTGCTCTTATTATTATTTATGGTATTGAGGTATTGGTTTTCGTTAAGAACGAATGTGAATTATTGCTTGTTTTAATAAGAATTTCTTACGTGTTTACAATAAAAGTCGATTTAAAGAACGTGATGGTCATTCACTCAGGTCCCGACTCAGTGTACTTTTCAACTGTAGTAGCATAGCGGAGACATAACTCAAAGTTTACGAAACAATTCTTTTTTTTGTAAAACTCCCAACGTTAAGCATACAATTTAAACATTCACAGCAATCTTTCAAAATTATTTTATTATATCTTTGTATGTCTTGTATATATTGCTATATTTTGTTGTTCATAATGGCTTGTTTCCCACTATTACCTGCTATACTGCTACTGCAATCAAGAGAGCGCTTTAGATTTGTACCTGCATTTTAAGTAAAATATGAGTGATGAAATAATATATTTATTACTAATTAAAAATTGTTGATTAAAGAATGTTTTATTTGAAAAAATAATTATAATGATATGCACCAGTAGTACATTGGTGGACTTGATACCTCAGGCATTCTCTCCCAGTCAACCATGGGGTGTTGTAAAAATAAAATAGCAGGTGCAAACAAAGTGCAGAACAGAGAAGAGATTGAGAGTCTAAAAATGTATACATACAACAAATTTCTTTATGGCTAGAAATTGTGGAACAGCTATGTTGTATTCGTCACTGCGTTTGTTTCCAAATCCTTTTTTCCGACTATTCGTTTTTTCTGACTGAGCGGTTTCGCACTACGTCCGATCAGAATCCAATCCGAACCCGTGAAAATACGGATCTAGAATTCTCGGGCTGAACTCGGATATTGCTTTTCGCACCACCTCCGATTTCTGATCCGAAGGATGATGGACTTTAGAAGGCTGACTGACTGACTGAATTCGTATTGCGACCTCTGATTCTAACCTTTCGGGCAGCGTTAACTTCTGGCAATGATAATGACCTAAATAGAAATCCTAATAACAATGATGGTCATGGAGGTATTACGAGAAGCAACCGGGAGCAGAGCGTACCGCATGTATGTACATATTATGATTTACAGCAATTACTTTATAATAGCGTGCTGTATACAATACGAATCCGTATCTCACTACTGTGTGACGTGTCTTTCGTGTTAGTTTCTGTTTAAGTAATCTTATTTCAGCGATAGAGTTATAAAATTAACATTTTAAATCTCAGTCTAAGTTGAGTGTGTACACAACAACATAATTAGAACAACTAAAACTAATCTTATATGTCATAGAGTCGTTATTATTGATCGGCTAATAACGTTCCACAAAATACACTTATCACTAAAGTATCTGTGAGCGCCTCATGCTAAGCGGTTACTAAAGCCTTTTGGTGCTTTCCTCTGCTACATTCTTTTAAGTTCCATGAATAATGCTCCCCGTCTATCTATCTTGTATCTGTCTACAAGTGATAATTCTAAAAGTATCGAATGTAGGTATAATCATGTGGTTTCCACAAATATAGTGCTTTACGAGGAAAGCTTAAACATTTATAATTCAGTAAGATTTTGTCTAAATTTGCTAAAATTTAAAAAATAAAGGAAGATTTTAGAAGAAATACCAGATTCAAAGCCAGCGCAGTTTAATGAAAACACTGTGTTTACGTATTAATTAATAATTAGTCGAATAATCTGTTTGTTATATTGATAAAGAAAATGGAGCCTCCTCTTACGAAGTCGGGTGCGTTGCTGCTATCGGCGCTGCAGTGCATTATGTTCATACAAATTGGCCCGCAATGGCATATTGCCTTTAAGTTTCTTAAGGCGCATAAAATTTTAGTAGGTGTAACAATGTGGCGCAGTTGAAATTAGTCTTATAGAAATTATTCAATTGCAGGTTTCATTGAAGTTCGAGTTTTTAAGAATAGAAAACTCTACATACGTATTACTTAGCAGATATATATTTGTATGTATAGACGACTTTCTACTTAGATAGTCTAAATATTTTATATAAATATGTGACACTTTCTACAAAGCCTTATACGGGAACGACACTAATTGTTACGCTAACTGTGTAAATTGTAACATGAGTTCGGGTCATCTAAATCGTGCCTTCAGCGTTCCAAATACTGAAGTACCGCTAAAAATTATCGTAATTTTATATATGCATTGGCATCAGCTCACATGTGTATTTGAAAATATTTAGCTCACAGCCATCATTTTCTAGCCAGTTGTCGAGAGGGACACTCGCGTGAATCGATTTATTTAAATGTTCAGACAAAATATTTAATATGAAGCATACAGCACAGATAGTTGTTTTGTTTTGTCTCTATATATATGTACGGTCAGAGAAACTTCCTGGACCTTTAGTGTATGTTGTAACACCTTCATCAAAACCACTGCAACCCGATGCGGCAAGAGCCTCGCCATTTTATTACCACAACTGGATGAGGAGAATGGATACACCAGACGCAGTAACTTCTACAACGACGACGGCAAAAACACCAGATTTAATATTTGCGGAATTTGAAGCCGGTAACAACAATGTGAAATCAATCAGAAAATTACTAGAAAAGGAGAAATCTGAACCAAAATCGACTACTACTACTACTACATCTAGGCCTATATATGTTCCCAACGAAGATGATGATGATAGTGAATCAAACATCGGAGTTTACCAAACGACAACTGAAAAACTGGAGAAGACGGATATGACAGATTATTTTGCTTTATATAACAATTTACATGGTAGTGGTCCAATGTTTGTGCCTAGTGTGCCTTTATCAACTGTAGCAATTACTCCAACAAGTACGACTACAACCACCACAACCATACAAACACCGGTAAATGATGTACAGAATATTTGGCACATTATAGATAGCCAGAAACATGATCAGTTTTCTGGCAAATGGGAAGAAGAAAATACGAACGATGCTTCTAGTGAAACCAATTCTCAAAGCAACGAAAATGTATTGAACGAAAATCAAACTGTAGATGAAGACACTATTGACGATAATTTTGCTTTGCCTGGGTAAGTAGTTAATTGCTTTAAATGTTAGTGTTTTTGCCTAAATTTGAGCATTGTTAAACAATATGCATTTAGATCGGTGGTTAAAGTTTAATATTATCTTTACAGATTTACCACTGGAAATGGGGCTGAGAATGAATCGCGAGCTATTCGTACTGAACCGAATATTCGCTTTCCTTATATAAACTTGAAGCCATTTAAAATGAAGAATTTTAATAGCAAAAAACTCAATAACATGTTCAATCTAGACAGTTTTACTGAAATTAAAAATCCTGTCCGGGGTGAAGTGCAAGAAACACATATGGTTCCAGTGCAACAACCTGTCGATCGGTATAATCCTGCTCAGCCATATTTACCAACATATGGTACTAAGTCAAAAGAATCCAGTAGACCTGCAGCTCCTGTGGCATCTGTACCAGCGTCTGCAAACTTAGTGCCTCCACCACCACCGCCAGCGCCCCAGGTAACTGCTGATGATTTTCCGACGCCGAAAACCTACGAATCATTCCCTCCGTATGCACCTGGTGGACCAAATGGTGGCTCTACATTTTCGTTCCCGCCCTCTGCGTCTATAGGAATGGATTCATCTGCTAGTGATGATGATGTTGAGCCGTCTGGTTATAGATACAAGCCATCACCACCAGCGACCTTACCAGCAGCTCCTGCTACACCCAGCCCTCCTGTGTCAGCTTTTATACCTACACTGCCTCCACTCAATAAACCTTTCTCCGGTTATTCATATGATAAGCCACCGATTCAGCAAGAGGATACACCACCTACAATGGACATGGATGATAAGCCAGACTTCCAGGGCTACCATTACAACAAGCCAGCAATACCATCATATCCTTCACAACCTACCCCATTATCTCAACATGATTATGCTGCTCCCAGTTATGGACATCACGATTCACCACCATCATACCAATCGGGCCCTGACTATCCGGAACTTATTTATGATAAGCCACACGGTATGAAAGATATGAAGGGAGGAGATAGTGGGCAAGACAATGATATGGGAATGATGCCTCCTCCTATTGAAGATACAAAACCCGATTCTAATGGACCTCCTATGGACGATCACGGATTTCCTCACGATTTTCCTGGTAGTTTTAAGTACTCGCACGATTTTGATGATCATCATTATCATCATCATCACCCTCCTACTACTAGTACTACTGAACAGCCTCGTGTGAACAGATTCAGTTATTACTATCTTGGGAAGAAGCTTTATTACCTACCTTTATATTTCAGCGTTTACTTCGTAGTATACGTTGGCGCGCTTATTATCAAGGCTGTGTTGCGGCACAAGATTACTTACCCTAACAGCTTTAGACCCAATGATACGACTGCATCATTCTTTTCAAAGAGATCTATAGATTCGCATTTATCAAACGACAATCTTCACGAGATCACAGGGCGTATAACAAAGGCTATCGCTACTGCCGCTGACAAGTATATTAGCGAAAAAAGTAAAGATGTTTAAGAAAATAGTCACTAAATAGGAAATATTAGTTGTGAACTGGACACGTTTAATCGTTCATTGCAGGGCAAATTTAGGAACATTATTTGGACGCTGTTCATTATTACAACATTTACTATGTTATTATAACCAAAATATATTAAAAATATTTCTTCCAATATGACAATTTTATTCTCCCCATTTTGTTTTTCATATTAATCTTGATTTTTTTAAATTTTATATGAAACGAAGTGCAAAAACCAACTACTACATGTATGTCAAGTTATGTCAAATAATAATATAGTAAAATATTAAAACTTTTGACGTAATGGTTATTAGCATTTAAATTCTTTGTAAAAGCAAATTGTTCGATGTGAAATCTATTTCCAGTGGCCTCGATTAAATAATTGAGAGGATGAGTAGATCTGTTATATCACTTGAAGCTTCATGCCCGTAACTTCTAATTGTTTAAACTATACATGTCATTGTGTTATTTAAATTACGTACGTAGTTTTAAATATTACTTTGAAGTGCCAAATAGTTAAAATATTTACCTTGGGCGCGCAAAGCACATGTGACGTCACTTACTTCAACGCGCCACTATCGTTCTGTGTTACTCTTTATTGCCATCAAATCTTGCTTTTGTTTGACCATAATTACGTTTTTAACTAACTAATTAATTACATATTAAATGTATTGTCTATAATGAACCGAAATGAACATTTAAGATTACTTACTGCCTTAATTATCTTACGATTATCTTTTTTGATATATTCAGGTTCATCATCCTCAACGGCCACTAACTAGTCCACTACTCGACATAGGATAGCTCTCCTTAGAAAGAAGGTTTTGGTCTACTATACCAGGCTGGCCAGACACCCGTCTGGCCAGCCTGGTATGGTATAGGGTTTGTTGCAACTTTTCCTTCTCTTTGCACTGCTGTAGTCCTGCAGAGTTTGTTCCCTTAGTTGGCTCATACAAGACCCATGGGATCATTTTAATTATTATTTATACGCTTAAAAAAGTTTTAATTTGCAAAAAAATCTTTCACTGGAAATCCTTATGGAATGGGTTACCAAATATGTTACACTATTTTGGGTTACCAACTACAGGCCTATAACCATACGGTTCTCTAAGATTATGGAATCCATAATCAACTGCCAGCTCCTCCGATACTTGGATGATCACCAGCTGCTCAATGACTGACAATATGGTTTTCGTCGGGGTCGCTTAGCGGTCAGGTGATCTTCTCGTCTTTCTAACACACCGGTGGGCACAGGCGATCGAGACCAAAATAGAGGCTTGTGCGGTTAGTTTGGACATAGCGAAGGCCTTCGATCGGATCTGGCATGAGGCGCTTCTCTCCAGGCTCTCCCTTCATTTGGGCTTCCCGAGAAATTGTGTAATTGGGTCACCAGTTTCCTTGCGGACAGAAGCGTTAAGGTTGTTGTAGACGGTGCATGCTCCAACTTGAAATTCGTAAATGCTGGTGTCCCACAAGGCTGTGACTTATCACCCAAACTTTTTCTACTGCATATCAATAACATGTTGCAAACTAGTACCTAGCATCCATTGCTATGCAGATAATAGCACGGGAGATGCCTTTTACACCGGCCGCCCCAATATTTCTCGGGAAAACGTCATCGAGAGTCGAAACAAACTTGTGTCTGAAATTGCAACTTCCTTAGCGGGGATTTCAGATTGCGTCAGACAAAATCTAATCAAATTGAACCCAAAAAAGCCATAGGTCTGTGCGTTCACCGCAAAGAAGATATCATTTGTCATATCACCTCCGTTTGAGAGCACGCACCACGAGGCAACCCTGAGGGCCACGGCCGGGGTTGCCCAAGTCGTTGAGCGTATCCGGCGGCTGGGTCTCGAGGTGGCTCTGCACAAGTCCGAGGCCCTGTTCTTCCACGGGCTTCGGAGGAAGCCGCCTGAGGGATCTAGCCTCACGGTAGGAGGCACTCGCATCGGCATCGAGCCCTCGATCAGGTATCTGGGGCTCGTACTCGATGGCCGATGGGACTTCGGATATCATTTCCGAGGTCTGGTCCCCAAGTTGGTTGGGGCAGCGCGTGCGTTGGCGCGGCTGCTGCCCAACATGAAGGGACCCGATGACTCCTGCAGGAGACTCTACTCGGGGGTTGTGCGGTCCATGGCCCTTTACGGGTGCCCAGTATGGGCGGGGGCCCTGAAGGCCAGCAACGTCGCGATACTGCGACGACCGCAGCGAGTGCTGGCCATCAGGATCATAAGGGGGTACCGCACGATCTCCTTTGAGGCGGCGAGTCTCCTGGAACTCCACCGTGGGACCTGGAGGCGAGAGCCCTTGCGGCTCTGTATCAGTGGCGCAAGGAGGCGCGGGAGTTGGGTCGATGCCCCGAGATTCGAGAAATCAATGACCGGAAATCCCAACTCCGCCAGGTCCTCATAGGGGAGTGGAGGGAACGACTCGGGCAACCGAGCGCCGGGCACGCCGTCATCGCGGCGGTAAGACCCGTTATGGAGGATTGGCTCGAGAGGCGTCACGGGACCCTCTCATACCGATTGACGCAGGTGATCACTGGGAAGGGATGTTTCGGAGATCACCTGTGTCTGATCCGCAAGGAGCCAACGCCTGAGTGCCACCACTGCGATGGCCAGACCGTGGACACGGCTCTCCACACGCTGGCAGAGTGCCCGGCGTGGGTTGAGCAGAGGCGAGACCTCGTGGCGGCCATCGGAGTGGGAGTTCTCTCGCTCGATAGCCTGATTGCGGCTATCGTGCGGAGCGAGAGTGCGTGGAACTCTGCCGTCTCCTTCTGCGAGCAAGTTATGCTCGCGAAGGAGACGGCGGAGCGGGACCGGGAGAGGTTTAGAACTCTCCCGGCCCGCCAGGCCCGGGAACGGGCCAGGTACCGCAGGCGACTCAGGCGCCGGAGGTCGCAGAACGACCTCCGTCCTCCATAAGCGCAGGCCTGGGGGTGACAGGTGAGGCCATCTGTCACCCTAGCAGAAGCAGGCCGGGGTGGCGGCAAGCGCGTTGCGAAGCGCGCTCGCTTCCAGGGAGCACCGGGAACATGGGGTTCCCACACGGGGGGGGGGGGGGTCGTCTACTCGTCTGTAGATGACCCGAGGTATGTCGGGGTACCAGGGACTTCCTTTCTAGGGTATACCTGGTTCCCCGGCTATTAGTACCCGAGACGGCTTGCGGTTTTAGTCGGTTCGAGTCCGACATGCCACCGATAGGTGGTATCCGAGGGGATTTCCGCACGGAAAAAAAAAAAAAAAAAAAGAGGCATCGACATATCGAGCGAAGGCCAATTTCGGGGTCACTTAGAGGGTAAGGTCAAATTGGCCTCGAAGAAGCTCTTTGTTCTGAACAGATCGAGGCAGTATTTCACTTCGGCCCACTGCCTTCAGCTCTAAAAGGTGCAAGTCCGGCCGCATATGGAATACTGTTCTCATCTCTATGCAGGGGAACCTTAGTAACAGCTTCTCCTTCTGGACCGCATCTAACAAAGAGCGACTCGAATCGTTGATAACCCAATCATTTCCGATCGGCTCGATCCCTTGGCGTTACGTAGAGATGTGGCTTTACTCTGCATTCTCTATCGCATATATCATAGAGAGTGCTCCGAGGAATACCAGCCGCAACTTGCCGCCATAGTTCCACACGGCAAAATTTCATCCTCGTCACCTGAATAGTTGGCGCTCCACTACTGTGCACTTTTCGAGACACTTTTTGCCCCGCACAACCAATCTGTAGAACTGTTTATCGTCTGCGGTATTTCCGGACCGATACGACCTTCAAACCTTCAAGAAAAGAGCGTACTCCTTCCTAAAAGGCCGGCAACGCGTTTGTGACTCCTGAGTTGTAGACGTTCATGGGCGGCGATGGTCACTTTCCATCAGGTGACACGTTTGCTCGTCTGCCCCCTCAAACATAAAAAAAACTATGCCTACACGAGCAAAAATGCTAAATTTAATGCTATTAATTTTTGATCACAGAAGAGGTCTTCTTTATTTGAAATATGTTAACTTGAATACCTTCTTTTTTTTTTTAATCATAACTTTAACTGGATTAGGTTCGCGACTCACGATTTATTTAAGAAGCGAGCATTAGAGAGATAAATACTTACATACGTATCACGTATACGTACTCGTACGTACTCACATAAGTTCGTTACATAACCAGTTGGTAGATAGATAGCAAAATGATCAATCATCCCAAATGCAGTGTGCAGTGATATGGTTTGGAACTTACTTACACGAGTATATATGCTCCTAACTATATAACTGCACTCTTAAGTAATATATCAAGAAAGAAATTTTCAAAAGCACTTACAGTGTTGCTACGCCGTGTCGATTCGCATATATTAGTATTGACTTTTATGTTTAATCGCCCAGTACTATCGCCGCAATCATAGTACCGAACGAGAAAATCCCTACACCAATGATCGTCATGAGTTTGGTATAGAGTTCCGTACCTTAATGACAAAAGTTGCGTACTGCATTTACATTTGCATTTGTGAGCTTTCCGATCTGTATTTGAGAAATTTTGCTAAAGCGCTTTTAAAGTTAACTGTATGAATAATTTGTCAAATGACAGCGTACTGGGCAAGTTCAAGGTGAGGGCCAAAAGATGGTTCTTGCTGACATGGTGATGTCAAGATTGATCCATATCAATAAGAGTCTCCGAAGATACTTCTGTAGTCTAGCCAAAATGAAAGGGATTTTATCTGCAATATAGCTCCCTTCACTTAACTATAGTCAGCGAGTTTTGAGTCACTATGGCAGTCACATTAAAGATCATGCCAAAATGCAAGAGACCTCGCTTAGCCAGAGATATTTTGAGACTTACCTTTATACCTCATTGTTAGTAAAATTAACATAAAAAAGTAAAGACTGAAAATAGAATGTTCTTTTAGATATTACAAGAAGGTTATTGTTTATATTATTATGTTTGTAAAAAAATATTGCATTATGTTTGTAAAAAAAAACTCTACGATTTAAATATATTTAATGAACAAATACAGAATGAATCAAACTTTGACTAACAACTAATACTACAGTATATATACTCGTATATACTCATTCATCAGTGTCCCTATATCCAATTTGGAACTTTTCGTTGATTTTGTAAAACAAATTCCACATAGTCATCCTCTGCTTGAAAATCCTTTTTTTAACTTCAAGTTCTGAATCAATATTCAAATAGTACTGCGTTTGCTTTGTGACAGCTGGCCACTGAACAGGCAAAAGCTCCGTTACTTGTGGGACTGGTTGTCTGTACATAAAAAGAAACTGTAAGCGAAATCATCAACTACAATACTACAAAAAGAAAAAAAACGCACGTACCCATATTTAGCAAAATTAGTCCACAAACTGGTTATACGATCAATTATCAGTTGGTCTTCATCCGATGGTTTTTGATCCATGAAAGAAACATCAAACAAATAGCCTATTTCATCAGCGTGCCCTGCTCCCGGAGATGTTATATTGTTCAAAATTTTAAAAAAGGGTCTGTCACCATCATATGAGAACACGTAATAATAGACATTTGTCGCACCGTTATTGACATATTTATTTATAGTTCTCACAGCTGGATAATTGAAATTGAAATCTGAAGCGAATATGGTGAGATCCTGTTCGACTTCAGCTGAAAATGCTTCGTCTCCAATGTAGAAATGTCGTATATATGTTTCCATCTCAACGAGATCATCGTTTTCAAAATTGAATGCATCTTTTAGTGTATCATAAAAAACATTTAATACAGCATATTCTTCAGACGTAGTGCGTTCAAAAAAACCTGACATTTCATCACTAGTGTGTCCTATAAGAATAGGCATTCTGCCCAGATTTGAATTTTGTATATTAATGGGATAGTCATAAATAAACGTTTCAACGTCATCAAAATGTTGTTCAACACATGGTCTCAATTGGAGATTTAATTCTATTGCAGACGCTAAAACAAGTTTCAAGTCAGTTCTTGCAAGGAATTCTAGAGCTTCGTCGGTATCACTTGTAGGCAATCCAAGATTTTCAGCCAATTTCAACGGTGCTGATGTGTCAGGCTCATACCCAAGGAGGCCCCAAGGACTTACTGAAGTTCCACTTTGGATTATGACTTTGTCGAATAAGTTTTCTTGGCCATAAATTAAGTGAAAATCAACTGAGGCGCCACCAGCACTTTCACCAAATATAGTTATTTTATTAGTGTCTCCTCCAAATGAACCGATATTGTCCTTTATCCAACGTAAAGCTAGTTGTTGGTCTTTGAACCCTTGATTTCCTGGAACGTCGGTAGTACCGAGGCACATAAAACCATAGGGACCGAGTCGATAATTTAATGTAACTAGAATAATATCCTGTTTTACTAGGAATCGTGGTCCATGAATTTGCCTGCCACCGGATCCATACCTGAAACTGCCGCCATGAATCCAGACCATTACAGCCAATGGATTTTGAGAATTAGCCGTGTTCGGTACGTATACATTTAGGCGGAGGCAGTCTAGTGATCCTACTATGGAGTTACCAAATTCTTCGACTTGGGGACATACTGACGAGTCATCGTACGCTTCAAAAGTTTCATCAAACCCAGGATGTGGTTTAGATGGCTTAAAGAAGTAATAAAAGTCATATAATAAATGGAAATCTTCTCTACTTTACTAAATAAAAGCAAATATAAACAGACTCACCCCGAAAGGATTGCTTTCATTTACGGTTGCATAAGGTATACCCATGAACATTGAATAATCTCCATCAGAAGCTCTCAAACCACGGATTAGGCCAAGTTTAGTTTCAACTAAGGGATCAATCCTGGTAAATGCACCACCATTATGAATTAGGAATGGGAGTATCAATATTATAATTTTACTTTTCGGATCCCACATGATGTCTGCCACAAATTCAGCTGAGGAATGAGAGTTTTCTATAATAGTTACAGTATCTTATTGAAGTCGATAAAAAATTGAGATCAATATATCGTATCAGCGATATATGTATCTAATCGCTTTTTGAGATTGCAGTGTTTGAGATTTTGTTCCTAAGGCAATTCTTGTGCTAAAAATAAGAACTGAAAATAAAGTTATAACTAAGTATGGTTATACTTCCTTTTCAATTCCTATAATATGGTAATATTTGTCAACTTTCAATCTTAAATTGTAAAATTGTATACATTACACTTTTATTTATGAAAACAAATTTTAAGAAAGCATGGATCGGTCAAATGTGTAATTGAGAAAATTTGTATTCATTATGTTATTGTCTTTCTACGTCAATTTATAAAAAATCCGCGCTGCAACAAATCTTTTGTTTGTTGTCTCTAAGATAAAAAAACGTGTAATATTAAAAATGTTTTTAAACTTTCGCGTTCCATGATAATTAATATTATTTTAACGGGAATTAACGTTGGTTGCACCGGCCGTGGTCACAGGCTGACTCAGGCTGTGACCACGGCCGGTGCAACCTGGTCGAAACGTCAGGCAAACCAGAGGTATGTAATACCCTAAATAAGAGATCGCGTTAATTCCCGTTAAAATAACATTAATTAAAAATGTTGATTTTGAAAAGGGTTAGTTTTTAATACCTAATTTTTGCTTCACTTGTAGCACTAAATTCCTGATAAATTTTCAGTTCATTTTCAATTTCTACTAAATTTTCAACTAAGGTATCAATCCAATAACTAACAAGAAAAGGTTGCTATCATTAGTAACCTAATATTTTACTTAACAAAAAATTGTACATTTTGTGTTTACTCTGTAAACATACGTATATAGGCTAACGCCTGTAGTCCTAGGTGGGTAGGCAGAGGCGAATTAAACACCCGAATTTTACAAACTATAATCGGTCCACTAATGGGAAAATACTGATGCGTCAAGAAGATAAACCCGTCCAAATCAGGTCCACAAAGTGTTTATCATCGGTGTTGCCTAAAACCAAGTGAATATCACGATGTGTTCTTTTGTTACTACACTACACATTGAAATATTTAGGTTAACTAGTTTGGTTCTTTGTAATCCTATATTTCTAAATGACTTTTCAAAAAATTCTAAATGACCAAGATGAATATCTAAGGCGCCTGCCCATGTCGTGCAGAGTTCCACAAGGGTCTGTTCTTGGACACTTCTTGTGGAATATAGGATACGACTGGGACCTTTGAGGAGACTTCACCCTGGGCGGGGTGTAATTTCGTTACAGACCGAGGGACAAAAAAATTTGGAGATATCTGTCTGGTGGTAGGGTGCACTTTTTTTAATTTTCTTTTCAAATTACACTGCTGGTACTAGGAACATACCCTGTGTTGCGGCCGTCAAGGGGGACTTTACAAACATATATCAAACGGACACAAAGAACACCCAGACTCAAAACAACAATTTGCGAATCACACAAAGTGTTGTCCCATTTGAGAATCGAACCTACAACACTCAGTGCACATCATTGAGGCGCTGGATTTACGGGTGGCCCTGTATAAGACGCAGGCCTTCTTTTTTCATGTCCACCCCCTGGCGCCTCGATCGTGATCAAGTTGGTCCTGGTCAAATGAAAAAAACGGATGGTGCCAGTCAACGAGCTGAATTCGCTCAAAATTTTGATGCTAAGCTTGGGATTGATTTAGAACTCTCAAGCAAGTTTTTTATCAAAGATGTCTTTATCGATGACTTGCATTGTTAGTGAGAAATATGCTTGAGAAGCGTTATAGACTATCTCGGTATCTAATCTCCGAATGGTCTCGAACGTATCATCTGCTTAAAAGATCAAATCTATAGTAACTGACTTGATAACTCACTTGGCAGATTACTTCATAGTATCAATTTTGTATTTCTATGATTTTTTGTTTCAAAGGAAGTTAACAAAGTTATTTTTTCACTATTTCTGAAACGAAAGTTTTTAGTTAAAATCTAAGTCACGATTTAAGTTAATGTCGATTAACTTATCGCTTAAAAGAGTGGGTGTAGGACATAATTTGTATAATTTTAAAAGGTTTTTGATACCAAATTCAAAAAAGGAGGTTTTAAATCATATCAATACATAATGATATAACTTTAACTTAGGTAACAAATTGATTTTATCAAAATCGGTTCAGTAGTTATTTGTGTGGCTAATCCACATATGGCCTGGATTACCGATACGACCTAGAACTGTGGTTTTAAAGAGCAACTCAAAAATTTGATGAACATCGCTAAGAACAATTCTTGTAACTTCAGTATCGAGTTATGTATAACAACAACTATTATATACAACTATTGTACTTTTAGTTACAGCGCAACTAAAATAAATATGAGAGACACATGCGTCTTTCCCCGTCACTAACTACCAATTTTACCGGGAGTTATAATATTGGCACATTTTTTTTAAAGACAGCTCCAGCACTAGGAATATACCCTGTGTCGATGGGTACTTTACAAACGTTCGTGAAACGGACACAAAGAACAGCCAGCCTCAAAACAACAATTTGTGTATCACACAAAGTGTTGTTCCATGTGGGGATCGACCCCACAACACTCGCGAATCAGGAAGCGGCGAGGTGACTCGTTCCATTTTTATATTACAGATACAGACATTTCTTCTAATGTAAATGTGACCTTATGCAATTATTAAACCTTTTTATTCCTTGGAAACTTCCATGGGTCAATAAAATCGATTCACGAGAACCCTGGTAGAATAAACTTACCTATGAAATGTTATGCCTTTATTAGTTGAATTATACGTCCCTGATAAGTTTTCACAATCCAAACAAAAAGGATTGTGAAAACGCATCAGGGACGTAAAAGTATTATTAATAATAATATCTAGTTTCAAACTTAGCAGATCTTGTACTTTGAAAGCTAGATTTACTGATAGAATACTTGTACACTTTTTTTGTAAATACATACATATTATACATAGAGAACACCCAAACTTTGAAACTAATATTTGTAGATCATACATACATTTGGTCAGACGCGGGAATCGAACCCGAGACCTCAGCACTGCAGTCTCACAAACTACCACTGCACTACCGAGGTAGTCTTGGTTTTGCAATTGTTTTATAAGTGTACGCTGTTACCTAGATTAATAAAGTATTTTAACTGTTGACTTTAAATAATAATAATAACAAGAATATTTGAGACATCTCTCACACAGCGCCATTTAGTTTCAAACTAAGCAGAGCTTGTACTATGAAAACTAGATTGACTTATAGAATACTTATATTTTTTTTTGTAAAGGCATACATATTATATATAGAATACACCCACACTCCAAAACAAATATTATAATTATTATAACAGATACTATTCATTTATAAGTATCATTCATCATCTATGGTTTTCATTGCTACTTTTAATCCATGTTATTTTAATGTATATAAAAAAATCTAGACACCATCGAAAAATTTAGTCAATGTTTAGCATTGTTTACAGGGATTCTCATTCGTCGAAGGAGATTGTAGTGGTGCCACATACTATAATACAAAATAATTCCTGGAGATTAAGGTTAATAATAGTTTGTTCCCTATATATTTCACCGTTGTTTTGCAAGTGTGTGCGAGTCTTATACATATTTGTTTATATTTTGTATGTGTTAAGATGTGGTAACATCGGTTTTGGAAGTAATCGAGCGTTAATTCATTTCTAGTGTCTTATTATTAGTAGTGTAGAATATCGAAGGTAATGGCGCTAGAAAACTTCTTGAATGCTTGATTTTACAGCTTTAAGGGACCACAGATGTAAGTATTTGATGTTAATTTAAACTTAGAGTAATCATATAAAAGCTTTTAGTCCTTCTAAGGACCGAATCCTAAAAGAGATACATTCAACGGAACATAGAATCTCTATTGTCAAGTAATTAATTAATTTAAAACTAATTAATGTTATTGTTATTAACCGATAACAATAAAATTAATTAGTTTGAACGTTACTGTACGTTTTACAAAATTTCAATAAAAATACTGCATGTACTATTCATCACAAAGGGTTTCACTCGTTTGCATCCGTCGAATAAAATATTTTAGATCTTATGCGTATTGGTATAAAACTTATTGTTCGTGCCAACCTGCATTATTACTTAACGATTCCCGGAATCGCACGGTTAATCGTACTACAACTTTCATACTACAAACTGCTTAGCTTGAAATTGGTGGCGTTGTGTGTCAGATGTCCGAATATATTATTATTATCTTCATTGAAGTCAATTAAAATTATTTACAAAGTAAGTTTGCAAGAAACTCTTATATTAGATTATAAAATATATAATTTAATAATTTATGGATGTTCTCATAAATTAACAAAATAACAATATACCTACATTAAAAAAATTGTAGCCACCCCATGAAATACAGAACCAACACACAGTTTGTGTATTTTAGACAAACAGTGAATATATAAAATTGGAGTAAGTTATTGCAGTTAGAAGCAAGCTGATAATTAAACACTTCCTTTGAGGTATTTGCTTGTAATATTCAAGAACCCCATTAAGTGACATTACTAAAATTTTAGTTGTTTTAATAAATCTAAGATTCGTTGCCTAAACTTTCTAGCCTTGTGTGTTTTAATTATCCAAATGTCAAATGTTATAAAAATTTTTTTTTAAAACATTTAGGGATACATTAAGAACGGTAATCTTGTTTAGACGGGTCTGTTGGTCTAGAGGTTAGTGATCGTGGTTTCGATTCTCAAGCAGGACAAATAATTTTATGATGATCACGATCATTTGTTCTGTGTCTGAGTGTAATTTTTCTATAACTAGCTTTCTATAGCTAGCACAACTCAAACTATCTCCATACCACCCCGCCCTTTTCACCCGTTTGCAGGATGTTTTATGGGATGAAAACTATCTTATGTCCTTACCCGGGACTCAAGCTATCTCTATACCAAATTTCACCTTAATCGGCACAGCAGTTTAAACGTAAGAGACAGACACACTTTGGTATTTATAATATTAGTATGAATTAGTATTGAGGCCATCTGTCACCCTAGCAGAAGCAGGCCGGGGTGGCGGCGAGCGCGTTGCGAAGCGCGCTCGCTTCCAGGGAGCACAGGGAACATGGGGTTCCCACACGGGGGGGGGGGGTCTACTCGTCTGTAGATGACCCGAGGTATGTCGGGGCACCAGGGACTACCTTTCTAGGGTATACCTGGTTCCCCGGCTATTAGTACCCGAGACGGCGTGCGGTTTTAGTCGGTTCGAGTCCGACATGCCACCGACAGGTGGTATCCGAGGGGATTTCCGCACGGAAAAAAAAAGTATGAATTAGTATGGATAATTATGTATTTAGAAATATTTATGTACGTTTAACAGCAGTCGGATTATCATAGTACAGGATCTGCCAAGTTTAGGGTCCGACGGCCGTGTATGAGATGTGTGATGTTATTATAATGATAAAATTCACGATTTTGATTTGTATTTCTAACGCTATAATTTAACTGTATCAGTAGGCGAAGAATACTCTGATGCCTTATTTTTGTTGCTTTAAACTTTTAGAAACCGAAACATTAATACTTTTAACAATAATATCTGTAATGTAATTAGGACTAGTAAAGTTCGACGGCAGATTATAAATTATGTGTGATTTGGGATAAAACCCGGGGACTTTGTTCTTTAGGGAATCTTTCTTAATTGCGGAGAAATATTAGTCGGCCTCACTTCAGTCTGATGTGCAGGACGAAGTTTCTAAATAGGGGTCCTGTAATGTTAAAACGATTTGTCACGCAGAGTGAGGTCTTCTATTGTCTTTGAGAAATAATCATTGTTAGAAGTTCTTCACAATAGATATCGATTAAAATCGATGCACCGGAGCTTAAAAGCGATACGGTGAATTTCTATTTTTGGTTGTATTTAAGCATTTGTGCTTTATCATGGCATTTATTATCCACAGATGTCACAGTTAATCAACATTTTATAACATGTCCTTTTATTACAGGCACTAGGTAGCTTTCATTTCTATTTTTTCATTTGTTTCTTGGGATAGCTAGTGTAATATTTATACCCTTATTAATACATTTAATGTTATGTTAGACTTCTTGTTTGTATTTCAATGCAGTTACCAGTTCTCAATGGCATGTCCAACAAGCCGTATTATCCTCGTACGTGGATATTCCTAAGCGCAGTTACTATTACGTCTTTCGTGGGCAGTGAGTCCGGGCAATATATCAATTTTCAATATAAAAGAAAACACTTGGCGTGAAGCATCCTAAACCTGCACTATAGTGGGAGCATGCACAAATGTAGATTATAGAACACTATGGTGTTTCTCTAGTTTTAGTTTGAAATGAGATTGTTTACTATTTTAACTTTGTAATTTTTTATGAATATAATACAACGTGGCAAAAACATTATCTTTTAAACAGTATTTAATTGAAATTTAACATTAAACACAGTTTATTTCACTGAGGTAAGGCAATTCGATTGCACACTTCAAATTCGATTGTTAACATCTAGAAGAATACCCATAAAAGTAGTATTTTGGAATCGAACCGACCAAAGCCACAATTTTATTACTCGGGTATTTTCTATAAAGAAAGTGCCTGAAAAATAATAGGAATATGATAGAGTGCGTGTGTAATGAAACTAAACTAATATAAAGAAGATAACTGATATGTGTATGTGCTGCATCTACAGTGCTATCACTAGTAGCACTTTTAATAGACAATAATTTTTTTGTGTAGTATTAGAACAGAAATATTTTTATACATTAATTATCTTGTTTGTGATCTAATGTTGAATAGTTTTATTGCTTCTTTGTTGTCAAATATTTATCATATAGGATTTGTATAACAATTAGTATAAGTATATAGTGATTTTTAAAGTTTCGAGTTCGTAACAGGAATTGACCGTAGTCACAGGTTGACGAAGCCTGTGGCCACGTCCAGGTCAGAACATCGGGCAATTCAAAGGTATGTAAAACCTGTTACGTGATCATGTTAATTCCTCTAGATTCTACATGTCCTTAACATTGACTTGATATTAAACCGGATGCAGATTCATCTATTGAGAATCTAGCGATATATTAGCGGCGAAACGTTACAGTTCTTCTATAAAGTTTATATTTAGCATAGCTACACATCTCGAGCTTTCACCTGTTGTGTCCACTGTACAAATTAAATTGACACGTCGCTTAGCAGTGAGACACGCACGGTATGTTTGCAGTTATTATATTTCAGTGTTCCCTTTGCACTGTTAACCGGGGCGCGACATCACAAATTGGTCAGTAGCTTGCTCACCAGCACACTATAAGCATCAGTCTTTGAAAACAAAAAAACTGAAAGTAAAAAAAGTGAATGAATGCTGATAGATGTAAATGCGTATTGTTTTATAACTAAGGTCACAAGATGGTGTCTAAGGGTGTGCTAGTGTTGTCTTGCCACGGCTTGGTGTGGGTAGGTGCGATTGCATTGGCGTTGTGGGCAGGCGCCGCTCGCGCAGCTGTCCATTACGATACCGCTACGCCGCATACACCCCCTTACAAATATAAATATATACCGTTGGGGTAAGTACTATCATTTTTAATAAAGTGTAATTTTTGTTAATAGAAACATCATAAATCTTATTAGATTCATAGTGCAATTATTCTATATGGTGTATGTGTTTTGTTATATTAATTCTTGTTGTCTTAGATGAATATATTTCCAATACAATAACATGATTTTTTATGAGGTTCTATATATACTCCTCTATGTCGGGTTCAAAAGAAGATGAAAATAGGCCACTTCAGAACATAAAAACACAACGAGTTATTAAGTTGGTAACACATTCGGTTGTATTTTATTTGCAATTATTGCAACTGCCAACCAGCTTAAATGGATCTTTCAAACGGAATGTTAAGTTGAACACTTGATGTGCGATTTTCTGTAATAACTGTAACATAGAATTGTGACTTGAGTTATTTTAAATATAAAAACATTAAATTAAAAAAAAACAATTAGTTTTGTTATTTGAGAAATTGTTTTGTAATTATAAAAGTTTATTTTTAATTTTTCATAACGAATTAAATATTATTCTTTATGTTGTATTGATTTAAATCACCATGGTACTTTTCACTTGATAAGTTTTGGGGAATTAGTTTGGAAACTAATTCCAGAAAATAAGCATGGTAAATATCCCGTTTATAATATTCAATATGTGTCTATACATAGAAGTGGAAAGTGTTTGAAAAGAAATAAAAAGACATGGCGCCCGACATCATAAGGTAGAAACGTCTGAATATACTTTGAACAAAAGTAAATTAGGGGACGTTAAAAAATCAAAGTTACAGTGACCGATACATCTCTCTCATCATCTCGTAACGAGATTAAATATGCTTACAATAATTTTCAATTCTTTGTCTATTAAATTATATCGTAATTTCTTCTAATATTTCCAAGTATTATGTTTCAATTATTGTAATAACGTTTACTTTTATGGAAATTTCCCTTAGGAATGCACTCAATACCTTTCTGAAATATAAATAAAAATGGCTTAAATGTAATTCAAACTCAAAATTCGTCAATTACAATTAAAAAATAAAAATTAACACATTACAATTTCAATAATTATCAAAACACTATTTGGAAGCCATTTTAAAACACTTTTCTAAAAATATACAATTAAAACAACTTTTCTGATAACATTATAACAGAGAAATCGTATTGTGTAGTACTACCGGAGCACACGTCGTCTGTATGAAAAACAATTTGATGCCAATTAATATGCAAATGAATATAATTAATAAATAATCAATATGTGGTTTAACGATAACTGTGAACTAATTTTATAAAATGTTTACCAGAATGTCACGTAACATATACGAATGTTAATACATTTTAACAATCCTTATAGTTTTATTCCAGTTTACCTGTTTAAATCTACATACAATTTAGGACAGTAGTTTCTGGACATTATAGGTATTTAATTGAATTTATCATTTTTAGACATACTACCAGTCCATACCATCTACCAGTCTATACTATTAATTAAAATCTGTAGGTATATGTATCTTATTAATATACCACCGGGGATTAATCAACAGTAAAGAAAGAAATAGTAAAAGATGGCCGTATAGTGAGACCTGGATTACCGTAACCATGTTGTGGATCTGTTTTAAAAAGCAATAAAAATGTTTTATAATTTTTTTATGCTTTTTACAATACCCTTAAGAAAGAAGTCTCATTTAATCGATTGTTCTACTTAGTTCTAGTTATGGCGGGGTACCAGGTCAATCAACATCACCGCCGCTGGGGGATACGGTGCAGCAATACACCGGCATGCCACTATCTGAATTCGTTCTCACAGCACTAAGAACAGCTTTGGATGTTGTTAGAAACGTGAACAAGCAACGAGCGATTACAGCTGCAGCTAAAAAGAACAGTACGATACCTACGGTACGTTTATCTTATAGATTTTTAAATCAGCACGAACCGTGAAACTGGGAAAGCACCACTTTAAAAGATATTCATTTAATCCACGACCCTATGACATTATCAAATTGATTCTGTCACTGAAACAGCAATTTCCAAGAACGAAGCACTCTTAAGAAGCCTCTTAGCTATGTTAGTACACATTTGACTGCGTAAGGGGTATTTTCTGTGGATAACATGTAGCTGTGTACCGTAAATAATTAAAATTACCATAACACATATATTTCAATAATTATAGAGCAATACCAAATATTTGTCAATTCAATTAACATTGCAATATTTGCGCTTGCAACTGAAGTCGTTTAATACAGCCATTTGTCAAGTTGTCACATGTGTATATACATATATGGCTGATAACGACGTGAGCTTAGTTACGTACAAAAATGTTACATTATATTGAAAATATTCTACTTAGTTCTTTAACTATGATATACGTTTAATTTGCAGCAATTCAATTCCTTATTCATTCAATTAAACCATAAGCAAAATCTCAAAATTACCCGTGAAAAAAGCGTTCGTCAGAGATGATTGAAATATCGAACAGCATATAGACGAAAACGAGAAAGAAGGTCATATTACGGTATCCACTGAACTGGGTGACCGAGTCCATAGCGTTAACTGAAGATGTGTGTAGGCCGCCTTGTTTAGACATCCGACAGAAATACCTCAAACTGTCTCAGATCTCACATGCACTTGTAAAATGGACTGTAACGCCTACTTAGCTTACTTAATAAAATCTGTATTCAATAAATAACTTCCTCTGTATACAATTTATCTCACGTTCTCTGTTGTGGGTTTCAAATTATGTGTATGAATTTTAGTGGAACCGATGTGGTTTTATGCATTGGTGTTTATTGTACTATTTTCCTACCTTTAATATCTAAAATACAAGAAAAAGTATCAAACATTTTGCAATCACTTTAATATTAAACTTTTTTTTTGCTCAATCTTTCTTCGAACACAATAACTGCGTTTTAGAATAAGGTCAAGGAAACAGAGGATGAATAAAATTAACTTTATCGAGAACCAGCTCTTCCTCTCACTTTATAGTCACAGATACTCTCCTAAGGGTTGTAGCGTAATATAATATAGCATATAACCTACAATGGTTCGATAAAAAATCATGGTTTTAATATGAGACATAGATTCAGAGATTAGCTCGTTTAAACAATCAAGCCAGCAAACAATCACCCAAAAACTATTCAACTTTATTACACATGAAAACCATGCTATCAAGAAAGGGTTTAATAAGCCTTAATTTTTCTTACTATGTCATTTTCAGTTAAGACGAACGAGAACGAGTAATTCAACTGTCGGGACCGGACGAGGGTTTGAAGATTACTATGATGAAGACCATCACCATCACGAGACTACGACCACCATGAAGCCCAAACCCAGATACACTGACCCATGGGCCGGCTACTACGACTGGGTTATCAACGAGGGATCCTTTAAGTTCTGGAGTGTGTTTCAAGTGAGTATTTAAAGTAAAAAAACTGATTCAATTCTACCACCTTCAAAAGTCATTTTCATTTAACGGTGTCTATGGCGCATCCTCACAATCCGAAAACAAGAATATCTGGATCTATCTGCTTTTTATCTAAACGTGACCCCTTTGACTCTCGAACGCTATTTAACCGATGAATGTGGTTTTTCTCGATTAAAATTTAAGAGTATATTCAAAAGTACTCATTAACTTTAGTATGATTCTAGCTTTAATGTTCCATTATCAATTTGCGTTTTGTTTGAAAAGCTATGATTTAGAGTTATGAGTTCAATTTACTCTGACTACTAGCATTAGGGTTTTAAAAATCTTTGCCGGTTTTCTTATTACACAATTATCTTACAAGATTAGTCTGATCTCTGTAGCAGTGAGATCAGACTAATCTGTCACCAAACTTGGCTACCTGCCATCATTTCCGAAGTTTATTTATGTAAACATAATTATTTATATATTGAATTATACAAGTAAAAATTACGGAAGTAAAAGTTTTTAAAAAACTTATTTTGAGCTAACTTTCTTTTGAGAACCTTAAGGAAAATTAAGCTAATTTACTTATATTCTCCATAAGTTTCTCAAAGGTAATCATTTAAAGAACCAAAATCCATTAAAAGTAATGCACTAAAAAGACGGAAACAGCACGAGGTCCGACACAAACATTGCCCATTTTTACGCTATCAAAAGCTTTTTAAAGTAATTAATTATTCCTTATTAAATTTAAATATGTAATTTAAATTTATTTTTGTAATGTCAATACCCTACTCGATAGGTTTGTGTGTTTTGTTTCAAAAAACCTTCTAAGAACACTTGGGTATTTAGACACATTAAACAATACCTTAACTGTCGAAATCCATCCATTCATTTGGAAGATACGAGATAATAAAGAAATTTAGAAACAATCATACACGATACGGAAAACATAATCCTTCCTTGGCTTTGGCCTCTTTTTACCAAAGCTGCATGCGGAATCAGGTCTAAACAGGATTGAAGTCAATAGTCATGTAACAACTAACTCATTTATATATGGTGTGTGAAACTGCAGATATTTCTGTCAAAAAAACTAATTTGAAAATATCTAGTGGAGCAATAAGAATATTGTCTAATTCTGCAAAAATGGCTACTACGATATGGAATGATGTCCAAAGGAATGGCATCTTATGGGTAAAATGTAAACTTTACGATCATTTTTGGTTTTAAACTTTGCAACTCCTTAAAATGATGTGAAATACAGAACAGTAGTTATAAAAACGTACCTTTTTTGTTTTTACCATCACAGTGTTTTCATCAGAACGCACTAAAATAGATTCGACCTTATGAGCAGCGTAGCGCATCGTAGCGCAAAAATCATTGTTGTTAATAATTTTGTAAGAAAATAATGCTATTACGTTGTCATTTGACGATCAGCCGGTAGTTAAAAGACATAACATTGACATAGTTTTGAACAGCCATGTGATGACCGTCGCAGTCGGTCGATATAGTCGCACGAGGCCTTGCGACTGTACTTACAGCCTACCGTTTCCTAGATTCAGATCTCGAAAATACACATACTTAAGTGCACGTAAAGACTATTCATTTTACATAATTTTATTTCAAACGAGTAATTAACACTTTCAGTGAATAAGAACAATTATTTATAACCCATCGAACGGTTGTCGAAATCGTGATATTACTCGAATTCCATGGCCACGATAAAGTGCTTCTTCTTTTAAATGTTTCCTGATTTTTTTGTTATGTTTTCGTTCGTAGTAAAGGGTAGTTATATTTAAAACTTCCTGCATTACCTACAATTTGCAAGTAATAATTAATATGGTGTAACGAAATAATTCAAAACAGTCTTAAAGCCGTTTTTATGGTGATATATGAATTCAAATCATTTACGGAATTTCGATGAAGTCATCAAGAAAATGTGTATGAAGTTAAAATTAATTAAAACGTGTAATAGTTTTTAGTTATTACTTTGATGTAGATGGGCTGTCTTGTAAACATGTCGTAATGTATTATGATTGTAGTCACGATTTGAGGTAGGCCGGAAGGGTAGAGGGGGATGCTAGTTGTTCCGGTGAGGTGGCGGCAGCGCGTGCGGGTCGCGGTAATGAACCCCACGCTTATTCATATTCTGTCCTAAAGCTCGCCCAACGTAAATGCACAAGTAGATAAAGGATAGACAGCAAAGATAGACAGTATCAATGAGCTGGCTCAACAAAGAGTGTTTTATCTTCGATCCATGAATAACATAGACCTGAAGATCATATTGATTAACAGTTATCAGTATCTGTATAGAAGTGACTCATCACTAAACCTTCGTACAATAACTTAAAATATTAGAATTAACGAAATTATACTTTTTCATTATTAATTTATTTTAGTTATTCCTTCTTTTCCCTTACCTTTGAGACATAAAGTTTGTGCACTTTTTGTAAATTGATTGCTATCTTGCAGTCTCTGACTGGTTTAGTAACCACTAGCTTCAGCCCGCGGCGCCGCCCGCGTGTATGTCGGTTATCGCGGTTAAAAGTATGTTACTTGCTGATAATTAAGCTTTCCATTGGTAAAACAATGTTTAAAATCTGTTTAGTGGTTTAGGCGTGAAAGCGTAACTAACAAAGAAATAAACAAACAAACATACAATCAAATAAACAAACTCACTTTCACATTTATAATAAAAGTATTAATATTAAAGACATGCTATTGTTATTCTAAATTTAATAAATAAAAATATACCTATGTGAACTAATAAGCTTATAGCCATAAGTTCTACTATTTATATTAAATTGTTTTAATTGCTCGTAACATTTTAATTAAAAAAGGTGTATTATTTAAACCTTAAATCGCTAAAGCTTATACGGTGGACTACTTTGTCCACTAAGGTAATAATTTAAGGTCTTTTAATTTACTTGAATTTACTTGATGTTTTCTTTTATACAAAGTCTTTTCATAAACTAAATGATTCGTTTCGGCTATAACATAGAACAATTACCCAGCCGGTGAGCGTTTATAATATTTACGGCTTTAAACTCCGGTAACCTCACTCACGCGATAAAAACCTTAACACCGGTTGTCTGTGAGGTCGTAGTATCACTCTGGTTGATCCTGGCCCTTGTGAATTCTTCTTGAAGCCACAAGGCGGGTTCAGAAAAACTTTTTGTGGTGTTCTGTTTTGAAGTTGAGATGCCGATCGAATTAAACGTTTGTTCAGGTGGAAGTCGTTGCTAGACTATGACCACTTCCTTCGCTAAAAAACCATAGCCATAGATACGAATTGAATACTATCTTTCTTTTAATATTTAACATGTTCAATAATACAAAAGATGTTTCTTATTCCAGTTATTTACTGCTGCACTACTACTGTACGCTTGCTTGTCAGCCATTTACTATGCGAAGTTCAACCCTATATTACCCGACTACGACAGGGAGTACGACGATTACTTTCTTGAGCGGACAGTTGGCAGAACTGCTAGAAGTTTGGACCAAAGTGAGATGCCTTCTGGACACAGTTGGATAAACCCGACGACTTTCCAGTTCATACTTGATGCTATATCAAAACATTATGAAGAGGAGGAATGAATAATGACTTTGTAAATATATTTTTGTCACGAGGTAACGAAAAATCGGTACTATTAAAAATGATAGTTTAAATGTAAAATTATTTGTAGTAAAAATAAAAGCTAATTTCTATGAAATTGAACAAATAGAAACTTTTGTATGACAAATACTAGTACGTTTCTAGAAAAGATGATAGACGTTTTATGATTTAGTATTCATATTGCTAGTGCTATGAATCCCTTACAAGCTGTGGAAGCTTTTATAAACCGTTTAGATCTCTAGATAAATTTAGTAGTAATAACTTAATTGACTACGTTTCCCTGATATTTTAAATCTATCATAGACATTTGACTTCTTTGAAATTTAAGTTTTTAACGTTTGTTTTTAATACTTCTAATAAGTAACTAGAGGCAATTTTGTACTAAAAGGATTCACTTAATCCTTTTAGTACAAAATAGGTTCATTTTACTATCAACAACAGGTTTCAAATTCCAACAACTTCGTTAAAAGCCTTTAATATAAGATTGAAGAAAGGGCCATTTATACATTGGTTTTTATTTATATATTAGATTTTTGTGTTCACAGAAAAAAATATTCAACTGTTATATGACGTTTGTGTATAATAAAAAATCAGTCATTCTTTATGTCATGATTTGGTGCACAATAATAAATATAACAGATAAAAAACTTGACTGAAAGCAAACTATTGCTCAATTGTCTTGTGATGAAAATGATGTTTATAGTTATCTAGATGAATTTGTGAGATATCGATAGACCCGATTTGACGGAACTTAAGTTTAAGTTCTCATTGAGTCCGGTCTTCGACTTTTGGGGTGCATTGGGCCAATTCTAACAAACTTGACACTATTAAAATATATATTTTTTGTCTAAAATAGATAAAGCTTGTGGTAACACAGCAAGTTGTTGTTAATCTTATATAGCAAGGTTATTTTTTAATGTCCAATGCATACCCTTGTTTGTAACCTCCTAATAAAATCTACATGTATAACTTTAATTTTAAAATAGGTAACCATAATGTATTATGCTCAATTTAGTACCTAGAAAGTTACTAATAAAATTTGAATATAACAAAGGCAGTTTTATTAAAGAATACTGGTAAGATAACATTTAAGCGAATTTTATGGGGTAGGGCGTAAAATTGTGTTTTATAAGGGTCTGAAGCCACCGTGTTTTATGTGATGTAACACCCACACTGCGGTAAATAAACGTTCAAAGACGAAACCTCAATGACTTAGGCGCGACGTGCACTCAAAATGGTACGGCGTAATATTATTTCATTTCGTGAAACTAATAGTTAGGATATATTTCAAGTAAAGTATTGAAAGTAAACTAAAACATGATCTCTTCTATGGAATGTGTGTTCATTTTATTATTTTTATTGTTTGCAGTGAGTTAGATTAAAAACTGATTTCAGTTTTAATTTCTACTGTCGTGAATATAATTGGGCTTATATAATTTACAGTTAAGGTTAAAATTCAAATTGACCTCTTCTTAGATGTAATTGTTTAAAACGTAATTTGTTTATCCATCCATCTTCTTATGCCGTTTGAGATATTTAAAAAACCGGGCTATACCCCTGCACCCGTAATATACAGATTTATTCGATTACTGACTAATCAGTTTTTTTTATAATTACATATTTTGTTTTCAGAAGAAATACTAAACTTTTATATTTGTATACGTGTAATATTGTCACTTTATTTTCAGCCGTAAGGATACAAAAATATAAAACACTTTTTAGTCTTCATAACAAGACCCATTTTAAAAGTACTTGCGTATTTCGGAATGAGTGTGTGGTGTGGTGACAGATGAAGAATACCTAGTGTCACCGTCCTTATTCATCCTGTTGGTTTCGTAAGAGTCGACTTAGGGAGCAAACTACGCAGGACAACAACACTACTAAGAGAAGGAACACTATACCAACCCATCTGGCCAGTGTGATATAGTAGGTTAAAACCTCCTTTCTAAGGATTCCTCCTATGTCCAGCCAGTGGACTACTAAAGGATGATGATAATTAGTTTTTCTGGTGAAAATATTTAGTAAAACAAATTCTTATATCAGGAAGAGGTTTTCTTGGTAGTGTACTTATTTACAGTACTAAGTACTGTAGTATTGTAATTATTTACAGTTGTAAAGACAATCGTTATATAATATTCGTCTATTTTTCTGTCGCTTGCCATTTGCAGGTGACACGCATTAATGGTCGAAGCGAATAATTGTAGATAGATTGTGCCCATTCTACTAGTAAGGACAAATGTTGTAAGTAGTTAGATATACTTACATATACGTAAACAATAAACATGTTTTCTATATAAGCCAGTTCACTACAATTTTCCCTTTAAGGTCAACGTCACCAAAGTATCATCACTTGAGCTCATAGCGATGTCAAAGATCCTTGCCAATATATTTTTATTTGTATTTTAAAGTCGTGACCATTGTGTTTATGTGTGCGTGGTTGTTTACGCGGCAGCGCTTGTGCGGGCAGCGTCCAGGGTTCGATGCCCGGTCGCGGCGTCCACTCACTGCCTAGGACACGCACAGGATGTTGCTATTAAACTGACTTTACTACCATGGCTTTCTTTGCTCATAGCAACTTAAAATACCCTACTCTAAACGTATTTTTAATTAAATTTTTGTAATTGTATGTAGTTAGTATTATTGTTTTGTAATTGCTACTTATTATTTCGGATGTTTAATTAGTTTGCTATTTTCGCGTTTGCTTTCGTATTGTTTTCATATACTTGTAGATTAATCATTTTTATAAGTTTTATCATTTTCAGAGTTTTATGTCACATATATGTTAATAGTACAAATATACAAATACAATAGTACGTATATCATTATACGAGTATGTTAATAGTACAATAAAAGTACTTTTTTGTAATTGAAGCGAGTGTTGAGCTCTCGTATTTAAGAATGTGTATAACCAATTAATAACCTTGCGTGAATAATTATGATTTGAACATTAATACTGTATATTTAAATTTAAAAAAATCTGTAAAACATTAGTTTAGTATGCTCTATGATGTTCATTCTGATATTTACGTATGTATTGTAAATTTAAGTTATTATCAAATTAAGTCTATTTAGGTAAGTCCATATATTTTCACTTATCTTACTATATTATAACTTATCTTATTATAAATCTGATTTTTTTTAATGTGTATTCAATTACTTTTACGTTTTGTTATTTTCTTTTGTTATGTATATTAAATAGACATGTATTATACATTATTAAAACCCAGAATCATCAGATCCTAAAGGTTACTAAAACTTATTCTATGATCTATTTCTGGATTATAAACTGAGGCGATGCTTATATTATTACCAACGTCTAGCACACTTAACACTTTACCACAGATAATTAAATGACTTCACCATCGTTCAAGTATGCTTTTGTCTTCGGAGGTAATTCATCGTAACGAATACTTAACGTATATGTTTTTGTTAGTAGGACCTTGTGTTCTTATTGCTAAGCTTTGATTTGTTGATAATATACATTGTCTTAATGTAGCGAGCTGAAATTAATTATTCCATATTTATATCAATTAGCATAAAGCGATTGTTTGAGGTTCTAATATTATAACTTTTGACTGAAAAAGCAGCTATAATTGTACCGATTAGTACTAATATAATATCTAATTTTTTTTGCTTATTTTTATAAGAAGGATCACTTTTTCAATATGGGAAAGAAAATGATAGTGGTAGTAAGTCAATGGTAAGTTGCGTAGAAGTAACAGTTATATGTAGTAATACTAGGTTCTAGGTAATCCTGGTATATCTGTCAGATATAGGTCTAACTGTTCTTGTTACATATGTTAAATAATAGTTAATTTTCAATTAAATTGTGTCGCGTGGAGTATAATCACGACTCGATTGTCTCATATAAAAATTGGCTGAAATTGGTTCAGTTTAGAGTGTGTGTGAAAATCTTAATGATGACTCTATGTTAATCTTTGTGACACTATTTAATTTTTATAGTGAGATTTTTCAAAGACGTGGTCCTCAAAAAAGTGAACTAACATTCCTAATCAGAAGTTCTGTTTTCGTACTTGAATGAATATACTCCGAACGTGACAGGCTTAGCCATGCTTTCAAAATCAGAATTTCTCTGTCCCTATACGATGTTTATTTGTTTCGTAAATTCTTTTTTAATTTATCTACATATGTAATAATCATCTATATACATATTAATTAAATACGTAATATCGGAAACAGTTAAGTAGAAAATAATATTGCCGATGGTGGTAGTAGGTGGTGTAGCGTTCTTTGCCGATAAATTGAGCTATGGCACTAAAACCTTATTCACCACAAAACGGTTTTTAAAACGCTTTTGTGATTTGCTGTCCAATGCCCGCACTCATATTTTGCGCTACAATTACTTTGGTCTACGGTACGAGTTATGGTGTGAACCGTTGGAGTAAAGTAGTATGTTGGTTGTACGGAACGACGATTGTGGTGCGGGCGACTGCTCTCGGTTGGGTTGCCGTGCCAGTTCAACGTTCAAGTGCAGCGCCGGCGCACATCCCAAGAGATCGTAAAGGTGCGCGGGTGCGTGCACTGATGCTTCATACCGTTGCCCATTCGAAATTCGAACGAAATATTCGATACGCAGTTGTTTTAAATAACTGTACACAGACTTTTTCCAAGTGTTCAGTGTTTGTGAAGACGTTTCTTTGAGAACTGTTGGTCCTTAACTTGTTGTGCTCTTTTTGGGGTCGAATAAGAAGGTAAATATCTTTTTTATAGTTATTGTTAAATTATATATAAAATTAATTGTAATAATGAAATGACACATATGTAATATTTATGTTCCTAAGAGTTTGTATATAAGTTTTATGTAATGCAAAATTTACTTGGGTACCTTAAAACGGGTACTCGATAAATAATAACAATAAATAATGCTGAGTATTTTATCATAAGTATAGCTTATGAGGAGTGCATATATTTTTAAATTCCATAGCACGTGCACTCTTCCTTAAAAAGACATCAACGACAT